TTCATGTACAAAAACTTCGTACCATCATTTTGAAACAAACTTCTGATCCTTCTATACTGTATAAAGTGGCTATGTCTATCCATCATCATCAGCTAACCTCTCAATTATTTCTCGCCCCGTTGTTATACAATATTCCGCTATTCGCTCATTATGACATTAACCTCTAAGGGACGTTAGCTTTTTATATTTAGCTTCACTAAAGGGCTCTCCTGAAAAAAATTCCATTGATGTTATGTATGCAATATAAGCTCCGTTAGCGTTCAGTGATATGTTTAACTGGCTGCAAGAATGACATAAAGCACGGCGTGGTTCTGTATAAATAATAATAAAAACGACGTTAATACTTTATATTCAACTGCAATCTATATATTATCTGGCCTTTTAATCTTTACTGAATATAGCAATGTCGTCAAATATAAACAAATATTCACAGGTATGAAAATGGTATTAAAACTAGAACAAAAACATGAAAATATGTCACGCAGTTATCGAAGTATAAAAGATTGATCATCCAAAACTGATATAAATGGAAAGGAAAAAATCCGAATCTAAAGGGAATAGTTTTCGGAATTAATATTGCTTCCAGCGAATTACCGGTTATATAGAATAAGAAAAATATATAAACCAAATAAGACCTAAGCATAGATGGGGGAATATTAAATGGGTTTGGAGGGTGTAAATTTGATTTACTTTACTCAAAATAGGGACCAGTGGCTGGCTTTTCTAAACACGGTAACGAACCATGGATTCCCATAAAAATTTGTGAATTTCTCGACTAGCTGAGCCTTCTATAAAAGGATTACTTATTGGAGTGAGTTAATTAGCTATTTTGGTGCAGATAACATCGGATGGGAATTAATGAAGTTTCATGAAACCTGAAGGAGGAGACTGATTTTGCTTTCCACCCAAGCAATGTCTCACAACAAATCGATTTTCAACAATTGTAAACTGAATTATACAAGTGCTTCTGACTGTAATGTGAAATGCTAACGTATTTCCGATAGAAATGAAAATTTTCCTGTACTAGATCTCAACTTAAACGCCGTTACTTTCAGCTCATAAAGAAATTCGGTGCTTGTAAGGATCCTGAATACTTAACACCGTGTTCACAGAAATCTGCCATTGCCCCATGTCCTGAGTCACTTAATTTCACTTCACACTTGCACAACCTCTTTCTCAAAGATCATTTTCAAGTCATACACACGTTTACAGTTAAATCTTCTAAGTCGCCCTTTCTCGGAGTTTCCCGAACAAACTTTTACAAGCATTTCTATTTCCCTCACGAGTGCATTTCTTGCGCTTATTATAATTTAGTCACTTTACATACGTCAAGTAAAGAGTACAAATTATTAATTATTCGATTTTCTCATCCTTCAGTCACTTCCTATTTTTTTATTCAAATATTTTCATATTCTCTTTGTTATCAGTCATCATTTTATCATAAGTAAATGGCATAATTAATGGATAAATTTTAACACGAATATTTAAAATGAACTCAAAGAACTACGACATGAATAAAATGTATTAAAATCCACGATTTTGAAGCGTGGGCTGGTAGAATAAGTGGCCACATTTTGACTAATATTTTATTCATAAACATACAACCTAATTCCTTCTTGCACCAAACGCTGAGTATTTTTTTCAAATAAGAGAACACCGACAAAGTAGAAAACGGGCGAGCTTAAAAACCATTATAACATTCGGGAGCCTATATAGAGCATAGTTTGTACGGACCACAATCCACTTCCAGCCCTTCCAGCGGGGGATGAGCAGCTTAACCCCCACCCCATCTCCTTCGCCGGGGTGGAATCAAAACGCAACAATGATGTCCACCGGTGATTAACATTGCGACAAAACGCCGATAAAAAGAAGAGTTGGGGGAGGGGGGGGGCAAAAGGAAGCGCGGGCGAGAGGAATGTAATCAATTGTAAACAAAGGGACGAGAAAATTGAGGGAGAAATCGAGGACACGGAATTGCACGTGCAATCGTCACAGAGTGGAAGGAGCCTCGATCATATTAAGATCGAAAGTGGGAAGATGTTGGCTGCTGTACCTTTAAATACGCCTACTACACATGCAGAATGTCCCAAAAAGATGTATACACACTTTCAGTGGATAAAATAAACACATTTAATAAACTAAATCATTACATACGTCGGCATTGGCTCTCGGTAAATTAGCGACTATAGTGTAGATGTACTAAATGACCACCGTCAGTTTCGTGGCGAGTGAATATAGGCTATTCCATCTAAGATGAGAGGCGGTCAAAACAAATTCCCCCCTCCTCCCGCTCCTTTTGAAACACGTGGTAGCAATGTTACTGTCTTCTGGGTTGTTGCGCTGTGTAGTCTGGTCGATGTTTACCAACGTTTCAGAGGTTATACTGCCTCCGTCATCAGGGCGATTCATCTACACAGCGCAACAACCCAGAAGACAGAAATCTTCATACTCACCACTGTGAAAACCTCAAATATTACATATGCTACTATCTTTCTGGTACTTTCTCTATTACTGTAATGCTCTATGCCTACTACATTAAAATATAATTTAACTTTACATTATGCACACCAGTCACCAGTCTTCGCGAAGAAACAAACTCTTACTTGATAACTGTAACTTCACATAAATTACAGAACTCACGAAAGAATGTTTTCCTCGTTGGCAGTCCGTCAACTGGCTGTTCGACGCGCTGTTCCAATAAATATGCTCCCATCCCAAATCGTTTGCACAGAAAGAACTTAAGCACCATGCATAACTGCAACATTTAACACTATTTATGTAATAAATTCTTACGAAAATAACGCTCCAAACCGTTATCGCTGCAAAAGAATAATATAATTGCTATTGCATTCTTTTTTTAAAAAAGAACAGTGATATTAAATGACACCGGATGAAGGACGAGGTTAGGAAACGGTAAGAGACTTTGTTTACATCGCCTCTCATCTTACCTGGAACGCAGTATAGTTAGTTAGTTAGTTTGGACGGAATTCACGGACTGTGGTCCACTAGTAAACAAACACCGTAGGTCTTAATGCCTCTGAGAGCAACAGAAACTACAGCATTGAATGTTCTAGCGAAAGAAACTGAGGCACTGAATGTAGAAAGAGCATAAATACCCATACAAACCATTTGCTCGATCTACATTCGCCAAAATAACGCAGATGATCTTGGCACCCCTGTTCCACATTGTAACTATAAAATCTAACATCAGGTTTATGAAAGTCTACAAGAAAAATGGCTTCTCATTCCTATAACCCCCCCCTCCCCCCCCACAAACACACACATGAATCTTTCCTCTTTCTGCCCCCTCTCTTCTTACACAAGCATTTCCTCGTCTATCCCCCACTCTATATATATATGATCACAGGCATTCTTTCCACCCTCCTTCCAGCCGTCCCTCTGTGCTAACATGTCAGAGTGAAGCCAAAATGAGCTAATGAAAATGATTGGTCCCATTCTCTTGCTTTCTGATATCATCCCGCCCCTGTGCATCAAGCTACCACTTCTACCGCCGTGTGTGGTGTACTGTCTATACAGACAGGCGCACTCATACTCGTGTAATGCGGTTCTCAACGCGTCTGTTAGCGCAAGGGCAGAAAATCGTCTCTCAGACTTGGCTATCGGCTACTGAACATGTGACTCGTCTCAGCACTGCAATTCCAAGGAGGCAGAAAGGTCCTAAGTATTCCTGAACGTTCAGCTTCTAATTCCGACCGCCTTTACTGCCTGGGAGAGTCTCAGTTCCATTCACAAACCCGAACGCTAAAAACGGGAATCGAATAATACCCACGACATGAGCAAATCTGAGTACAGTTCATAAGAACACGTGTAACGTCTCTTTAGATCAGCCATCGCCATCCATAATAGGTAAAATCCGGTAAGCAGTACAAGGTTTGAAGCTCCTCATTAAGTAATTCTCTCCAGTCTCCACCCTTAACGGAACATGATCATTCCAAATTTATTTTCGTAAATGCCTGGAAGGTCACTGAACTATCAGGTCGTCGGGTGTTAGGGATGGTTGTAAAACCCGTTTTAAGACCACAAAGGACAGGTTTACAGGGGATTATCTCTACCGCAATGCTTGCTGACAGGACATCCCACTGGGAAGCCATAAATACTGAAAGCCTGTATTGAATACCGAAGTTGCTGCAATGCGATGAGACATGAAGGCTTGTGAATTGTGGGACCAATGAATGCAGACAGCAACTGCACCCAACAACCCTCAAAGCGACCACACAAGATAAGATCGCGAAGCAATTACTACCTGTAACCGCTGCTAACACTATTTTATATTATGACGATAAACCCTAACCTCAAGAACCGTAAAATCAGACAATTTTAAGCGAACTTAACAGTAAGTTTACTTCTACGAAACAAATAAATTATGTCATAATAGGCATATTCTTGTTGTGTAGAATGTCAATAAATATTACAGTTATTCATATGAATTCGTTTGGAGCGAAACATTGCCAAAAATGGGCAGTAGGTATTTAAATAAACGAAGGTTAACGCATCATACAGAATAGGAAATTCAGCACTGTAAACAGTGATTATTTCTCTAAACAGTATTAACCACTTGATATTGTAATGGAGAAGTATTTTCTTTGCTGTAGGGACTGAATTCTTAAATATTACTTACACGACCTTCGGTTTTGAAGGGTTAATAACTGAATTAACGAGTAACCTATTTCATTACAATACAACATAAAGCTATACAAGCATTTTTTTTATAAATAGAACATTCACTCGGGATTATTAAAATCTTGGACTCTGTCCGTCGTCTGGTGTTCAAAAGAACAAAACTTTTCAGAAACTGGACCTGTTTTCGTCCTCAGGAGAAAAGGTTCCGTTAGAAAGAGCCAAACTCAGTTACTGGTCCAGCTTCCAAAACGTTGTGTTCTTTTGAATACCAGACAATGGACAAAGTCCAACAATTTATAAGTCCCAAGTGTAACACACCATCGTCAAAACCCTTTAAAACTTAAAAAATATTCACCTACACGAAATCGAAAATCATCAGATGCCCCTGTATCGTACTCCATTTTACAGCCATTCGAAAGACATACCTTGTCTGTCACGTTGTCCCAACGACCTTCATGGCTCAGAAGCACACAGCGACTAGCATGTCTATTACTGCACCAAGTTTTATATCACTAAGATTTCCCTTTGCACTTGAAAGAACTTTTTAATGTTGAATTGTTATAATAAACCACAGTAAACATAATCTAGCATTTTGTAATAATTTCATATCGTAATTTCCAACACTAAAATCACTTCAAAGCAATAACACTACCTTTCTCTCTTGCATGAATTAACCTGACTGTCTTCTGTCTCTTGCCTTCAGCATTCGCCAAAGATCGGCTTCAATTCGCGTATTTCCGTAGGCCTGTACTATGAGTAATCATACGTAAATCACTTTGGAAGTCTGGTGGATGGTACGTGGTGTAATTAATAGGGCAGTTTCTTTAAAAAATACAAAAAATACATATACAACACTTTCTTATCTACTCTTCGTATATATTTAGTGCAGATGAAAACTACTGTTACGTAGTTAACCACACTGTAGATACCACGGTTTCGGAGGAATACTCTGCCTCCATCTTCAGGGAAGTATGGTAGCAATATTTTCCCTTGAAACATATACTAGTCCATTTACCATCACGTCCACACGATATTACAACCTAGAAGACCAACATTGACATATTCACCGCCGTAAGAACTTAAAATCTCATATAACTGAGCTAGTAATATACCCGGAATTTCAATACATTCATTATCTGTTAGGAAATGAGTTAATGCATATTAGTCCGTTATGTGGAGCATGACCTCTTAAATCTGTACAAGCATTAGTGCGCCATGACGTCTTATATGCGTGACTGACATCCGAGACGTACGTCAAGAGCACATGAAATAAAGCGAGTTAATTTCATCTTGACGAAATAGAGCTCTGAGCAGAGAAAGCTAATAAAATTACGACGCTCATTTGATTCTCGAAAGGAATGCTGCCAATTTATGCACATAAAAGCAATCAGCAAACAAGAGCAAAGATTTTAAGTATAATTATTTTAAACGAATAAAATCTTCTACGAGAGGAAAGTATCTTGTCTCAGTCATAAAGAACCAATTTAAGAGATTGTCAAAGACGGAAACAACGACCTAATGAAAACGAAGTTGAACAATCGAAACTAAATAATTAGTAGGCTATTTTACAAACTTGCCAGTTAATTAAATGTATAATTGGTATAAGTTGATGAAAGGCTAAGGTTAATTGCTCCTTATGCTTGATAAACCAAGCCAAGTACAGTTCCACTCAGCCTTAACTTGCAGCTTTATCGAAGTGACTAAGAGAAATGGCTAACTCGAACGATTAATCACTTTATTAATCGATAACAGGAACGCAATCTGAGCCAATAAGTGATTGAGGATTCTATTCCCGCTCGGGGTACAGCCTATCCACTGTAGATAGGGGCCTTGCGATCGACTGATCCCCCATGGAGGAGGTCTTGTCTCTGCGGCAGGTGCTTGAAGTGGACCAATCACCTACCTCCACTGTCCAGATTAAAAATGCGTGAAACTATAACTCCATTTATTCTTACTTTTGAACATCGTTGTGCTTAATTAAGTACCTGAGATGATTTATATTTAGGTACATATCGTCACTCGTTTAGATGTGAGAAAAAATGCATTCTTTCAGACGGTGAGTTCTTTTATTGTTTTGCATTGCAGTTCCTGACCGAAAAACTTAGTAAACATCGACCAGACTACACAGCGCAACAACCCAGAAGACAGAAATCTTCATACTCATCGCCCTGATGATGGAGGCAGTATGACCTCTGAAACGTTGGTAAACATCGACCAGACTACACAGCGCAACAACCCAGAAGACAGAAATCTTCATACTCATCGCCCTGATGACGGAGGCAGTATGACCTCTGAAACGTTGGTAAACATCGACCAGACTACACAGCGCAACAACCCAGAAGACAGAAATCTTCAAGAAATTGTAAGACTTAGAGTCTTAATAAGAACTATTGACCCCGATGTTCGATCCCCAGACCCCAACGTATGTCCGTGAGCCTCACCAAAGTCACGCACCATTTTGAATTGGCCTTACCACCGCCCGTTTCTTTTGGGTGCGCTGACGAATTTTATGTAGGGACCCCGCAAGTTGCTTTATTGCAGCCGACTAATAGATGGCAGTAAAAGCAACCGCTAAAAGCTTTCGCTTGTAACACCAAGAAGCGGCTCATTGCTGTGCGGGTTTATGAAGGCCTCGCTCTAATTAAGTTTCAGCTCCCTGGAAGCCATTTGAGTCGGACACGAGAAACCAAATACAGATCCTAAATCCTGATACGTAATCTGAAATAAATCCAGTCAAAATTTATTGTAGGAAAAGTAAACGCTATATAAAATCATTATTAATTCTTACTTATAATATTTCAAGTTAAACGTAATCGAAATTTAAATTATCTCTTAAGTCTCTCAATGAATCTTTCTGGGTACGGAACAGAACATTCCTGGCCAAAGACAGATATTAATCTGATGACCGAAGCAATGCTGTATTTATTCACAGACTGTACTGTATGTATTTATAATTGAAAGCTCCTCTGAAACGTCGGCAAACATCTACCATACTGCACGGCGCAACATTCAATCTTCATACGCGTCGCGGCGACAACTTGAAGTCTCTCAAGGAGACATAACTACGTTGCTCTTATAAATATGTTGTCTTGAGCCATGAACTCCAAGAGGTTTTCATTGTAAGGCGTACCTGCAGACCAGCAGTTAAGGGCCTGTTAAGCATATTATAGCTTTTATTATACTTTAATGTTCGACCTTAAAAACCCATTAGCAAGACAGCTAACTCAAGTTCAAATTATCATGGTAGGGTTGATAGATGTTTATAAAGACTAGATTTTACTGATGAATTCCTCACCGCCAGGAATGCACGCTCAAAATATAAAAAAAACTCTTGGAAAAGACAGACTTAAAGTGAAGATTAATATTTCAGGAATCCGCATATGTAGTAAGAAGCGTGGATTTGAATGGATTCCATTATCGCAAGTGAATATTTTTGCAAAATAAGCTCGAAAATATCATATTTCATTGGTTACGAGTTTTTTAACTCTGAGAAAATCGAGAGAATTTTCTCATCAGTTTTGGTAGGGATTTCAATGACGCACATATTTTATTGTACCAATGAGTTCTGATCGAAAATTAATATATCTCTTTAAGATTAACGAAACGCCTTCTTCATTAACTAGTCCTTAACCTTAAAAATGTATACCTTCATACTTGCCGAGACATTAATCAATTTTAAGCAGAATTTTCAGATATATTAGACAACCCTTTGCAGTCCAAACATCGCACACAGGTAACAGCATTTCCGGGGAAAATTCGAATAAATAATAAAAATAACTGCCTACTTGTCACTCAGTTAAAGTTTCGTTTAATTAATTTCGTTACTGGTATTAAAACATTGTTGATTTATTAATTTACTCATATAAAGTAAACTATAGGTCTATTTCAGCCTTAGTTACAGATTAAATATGATAGTGAGCTGCAGTGGAGACCTAAACGCCATTTATAAGTTTGCAACATTTTGAAATCTGTAGTAGTTCAGAATAAAAGATAAGGAACGAAATTTTGGAATGTAATTCATTCGTAACTAGGGAACGTACCGTAGCATATCTATCAATATAATTACAGCTTGCAGCACAGGTGTATTGTAAGATTATAAAATAACGTTGTTTTTTGGATGCAGGAATACAAAATTGTTTGATTGTACTGCCTGTGATGATAGGATGCTTATACATAAATACGTAAAAACTATAAAATTAAATAGATATACATGTTCCAAGAGAGCAATTAACGAACTATTATAACCTGTTTTATACTGCATGTCATAAAAATTTACTGAAATAATAAAAAAGCATCAGATGGAGTCCAGAATGCTATAACTTTACCAGGAACGGAACAAGACGAGCCGAGATGTATTCTATGTATCGATTATTAATTGCAACTGTGGCGTTAGAGCGCTCCACGGTTGCAGTGGGGAGGGGATCTTAAATGACAAAGAAAAGTGTCAGATCACTAGGCCGCGTGTGACAGATAAACCATTTCAAATAAATAAAATATATTCGGCGATTAAAATTTTTGTAATAAGACCGAGACAAAATTTTTATAAATTCTTTTACAAAATATGTAGGTGGGGAATGTAGCATGCATGGGGGAGATGAGAAATGCGTACAAAATTTTGGTTGGAAAGTCTGAAGGTAAGAGACCACTCCTAATTTGGAGAACAATATTAAGACAGATCTTAGGGAAATAGATTTTGGTATATGAACTGAATTTATCTAGCTCAGAATAAGGAGTTCTCGTGAACATGACAATGTATCTTCAGGATCCATAAAAGACGGTGAATCTTTTGATTAGCTGTAGCTTCTGAAAAATGACCGTGCTCTCTAAAGAAACTTGGTTAATTCAATTGTTAGTAAGTTAGTTATGTAGCGATCATCGCCCTGATGATGGAGGCAGCACGGACCTCTGAAATATCGGTAAACTTCTACCAGAATACACGGTGCAACAACCCAGAGGACAGCCCTCTTCATCGTTATAACAATCTGTGGTCCGTAAACCGCGGTGTAAGACAGGTACAATCTTTTGTACAGAACTCAATAAATAAACGTCTTTACATAAAGTAACGGATAAACCGCGAATTATTTCATGTATTAGGCCATTAATGTCTTCATTCTTACAGAGTCTGTAGATATTTGAACATTGAAAAAGTTAAGGTTTCAGTGGCTTTGACTTAACCGCAAAAATTTTTTTTATTGTAGGTGATTCTGGATGCGTATTATGCAATTTATTTATTTAAAGTTTAGAAAAAGTCAACTGAAAATAAAATAAAAAACAATTTTTTAAATGCTGAAAACAAATGAGCAATCTGCTTAAATTGTTTTTCTTGTTTCAAAAGCTGAAATAGTATTCTTATTCATTGAAAATAAAATATTGATTCTGAAAATTAATGAGTTTTCTGTATTCAGCTCCGGTTTTAACACTCCACAACCACCCGGAATTGTTGAAACAAAAAAGTGAACAACATACGTATCAGGTTATAATAGGACGCGATATTTTTCATAGCGGGAATAATGGAGCAAATTGGACACACACTTCATCTTTCTCATCGAACAAAGGAAATCGACGAGCTATGAATGAAATTTAATAATAATTTCCGCATATTCGTTTGTATGTTCTACGACTAACAGGAAAGTACACGCATTTTTCTCTACTGAATTGCTTTCCTGTTATTAATGACGTTTTGGGGATGAGAATGGAAACCCCCGAGAGAAAACGAGACAATGAAACAAAAATGTGTTGTCATCAGAGTAGGAAAACAATTAAAACAAGCCGCAAAGCCGTCGAGAGACGCAAAAGGCATTTATCATTTTTCAATTTGATCTCTGGCTGTTTGCATCGCATTCGAACACGCAGACTACGGAACACTTTGGGTCGCAATAGAGACCGAGCGCATTTACATGCCGTAACATCATAACAAAACTTTACTGCAGAAAGTTGAATCGTGACGTCTGAACAAAAGGTCCTAACAATGAAAGTCAAATGGCAGTGGTTATGTTGAATCACAAGCCAATTTGTTCTGAAAACTCATGTCAGGAATTCACAGCGACAAACGCCGAATGACAGAACGATTTCTACTTTCTAAAGTTCTCCACATACGTAAGAAATTCCATACACATGTGCCTTCGCAGTTCAGTTGCACCTGGTTATATGTCATTATTTATTTTATTTATTTAGTGTTCTGTCTGACGACAGGTCCATATGAACAGGATCCTTCCATCCTTTTCTCGGACTGGGACCTGTTCATATACGTTCTTGGCAGATGATCCAAAAGTGGTTTGCCATTGCCTTCTTCTGGGTGTGAATGGAGTAATTGTTAGGATGACACTGACGACAGGTCAGGTCCATATGAACAGGATCCTTCGATCCTTTTCTCGGACTGGGACCTTTTCATATACGTTCTTGGCAGATGATCCAGAGGTGGTTTGCCATTGCCTTCTTCTGTGTGTGAATGGAGTAATTGTTGGGATGCCACGGAGAAACCGGGGAAGCCCCCGGAGGAAAACTCCGTGTTGCCTAGACCACGGCCTTGCCCAACACAAGTTATAAATTCGGCCACCGCCGGGAATCGAACCCGAGACTCCAGGATTACAAGGCCAACGTTCTAACCGCTAGACCACCGTGGCTTCTTACATGTCATTATGAACACAATTCAGTATCCAGTGAAATACCTAAGCCCTAAGTATGGAGAAGTGCTTTAAATGAGCTTCAGGGTTACAAAGCCGTGTGGACTTGCAGGCAGATACAAGCGTTTCCGAGAAACATACCGCCTCCATCATCAGAGCACACACAAAATAACGTAGAAGCCCATAATTCATATGTATATGATTATTATAATTACATACATATGCAATTTTCATGACATTTGTAAAGTTGTGGAAGTTGGAAACATGTATACAAGCATATATGACTACTCTATTTACATACGCACGAATCACATATAGGCCTGTGTCAGAAAATTATGTGAACGAAAAAAAATGCGTCAGTTGATACGCCCAAAATAAAAAATGCATTTTTCAGAGTGTTATTGGGTAGTTTACTTCAGGATATGAACAGATAAAAAGCAACATAAAAATGTTTCCTAACTAAAATCTATATAGGCCCACGAAACTTTTAAGATGTTACATAACCTGATTTTTATGAGAAAAGTTATGCCGATGCCGCCTTTTACAAGGATCCACAAATCGAAGAAAAGAATTTGCTAACAACGTTACATCACGTTTTATTTGTGGCATATCCGATGAAGAAGTGAAGAGAAAGGGAGATAAAGTTGAAATTATTAAATTAAAATATAAAAGTTCAATTTTGGAGTCGGAACAACGGAATCCAATTTATCAGCTGAGGAGTTGGCTGATATAAATTTAATTAAATGTTGGTTCCATACAGAGTATTTTTTTGTGTTTGAACAAGTGGCTTATTATTTCAAAGGTGTGGTCAGAAAATCGTGCATCGTTTAAATCAATACAAATAAACCAAACTACGGAGCAAAGAAACAAATGCAGAAATTCTATACCACGCCCACGTGGTTTAGTCCATAACTGACATGAGTATCAGTGTACAAGTAACTTCGATTTATCGTATTTTCAAAACAACCTATAGTTAGCATAATTATGTAGCTTTGATACATAATTCTGGGGTTTCTTCAACTAATCAGTGTCGTTAAATAACTCCTGAATCAATTTACTTTATTTCTACCTTCAGTTTCACCGAGTTCAAGCGAACAAGTTCAGAAATCTTTGCTCGGTAAGAAAGACTTTAGTAAACACAAATTACGTTTGACTTAATCCTTTCTCTCCAAGCACGAAATAAATACAACAGCTTATAGGTATATTGTTGTGATATTCATCGTCATTAACAGACCTTTTACTACGCTGCTCTCAAATGGTCATTGACACGTTGCCTGGATACGCCCTCCTGTCTCTGTGTTACGTATTGGATGCAAGAACCAAAGCTGTAGGTGTTTTCTCAGAGGTCCGACCTGAATATTTACGCTTCGGTTAAACTCCTGAAGCTCTGTGGGTTGTACCTTCGCGAACGGAAGATCCCCGCTGAATGGGCGATCCCTGAGAAGACCGGGAGATATATATATATAAAAGTAAAAATGTTGAACTAGATGGGGGTGAGTGGTGAGCTTCACGCCCCGGCCGTGCTTTACCCCTGGGAAAGGACACCGGTACCCTTTGGACAGGAGGCTGGGGAGACCCCAGATCTACATACAGAAAGTTCTAACATAACTGAATCATAAACTAAAAACTTGTTCGTTTTAAATGAATAATACAAAGGCAGCCAATGAGATAATATGCACAGAAACACATAAGAAATATCTGATTCTACATTTAATATTTTCCCCCTTTGATCTCCTATCCAGTAACTCTCAACATTTTTCATAACCAATTTCCTTGTCTGTGTGTAAGCGCTTTTAATTTGCTTCTGAAGCTCTTTTTTGTTTTAATTTTATAAAAATCCAATACTCGCTTTATGCCAGTTATACAAAACCCCATCACCTAGCAACCATCAAGTGCGGTTGTAATATGTAAATTAGTTGTGTACAGCTTCAGAATAAATAATTTATGAAGCTGTGCACGACTGTTAATTCAATTTCACTGCCGTTATCGTAATATTTCATTGTTTCATTTTCAAGCTCTGTATTTAACATACGAAACATTTCATAACAATGAGAATCATAGTAATATGGTCATCTTAACGGTGTTCTGTTCACGTGTTGCATAAAACAATTCACAATCCACCCAAGCCCTTTAAAAATGCAATGCTTAAGAAAGTGCATTAATATCATCGAGCAAAGTGTTTCAAGAAAATGTAAAAATACCACTGGACTTCGCGCATCTGAACGGTTAGAACTACTTCGTATTTGGGTTCTGACATCGGCTATCATGAAGTTTTCCAATTTTCCTCAGCCCCTCCACGCAAATGCCAAAATGGTATCTTAAACCTGGCAATGACAATGGAAGATCAAGATTATTAAATTAATTTTGTGAGTGCCAAAAGCTGAGAAACAATGCACCATGGAATAATAAAAACAGAAATGTTCCGAGAACAATGTACAACATTTATTCCCCTTAAATTTTCATAGACGCAGAAGGCTGAAAGATAATTACATCTCATGTTAAAATGCTAAATTAATACGAGAGATTATAATTTCTTAATGAGTTTATTTCTAGAACGTTTTCGTTTTTGTAACAAAGATCACTGCTTCACCACAAAGCAGCTCGAAGTACCACAAGAAGTCCTAATGCCTTCCAAACACCAGGTCAAGACTCGGCACAATTTGAAAAATATTCTAAAAAGAAGAAGAAAATATTTGCAAAATTATAATCAATTTATTTGCAACAGATAAACGAACCAAAACACATACTTTTTTAGGTTACACTTCATTTGACTGTAAACGCGTTTCCTGTAAAAATCAGATATGATTTTGTGCATTTTGGAATCCGCTTCTTCAAAAGTGAACTACGTTAACTTTCTAATAATAAAATCTTAACACTGAAGTTGAATGTGTACAAACATTACTTAATCCACATATTAAAAGTCACATTTAAATGAATACTTAAACCATTACATACGCTACATGAATTAATTTTAAAATAGAGTTCCCAATAAAAATATTTCAAGCCTCTCCATATCAATGTTTTATTTGAGAAAAAGAATCATGACAAACTGTTGTGGAGATCAGAACAGCTGGAAGCGTGAATGAAGGGCACATTCACCTCAACATCCACCGGCCTCCCCGCGCGTCGCCAGATGCGGGCGAGATGTCGGCGTCACGCCCTTGCCACACTTTACCCCCGGCGCTCACTGGGTAGGAGGCGGGGTGGGATGCAGAGGCTACAGGAAGAATACTCGCACACAGTAGTGGACGATCCTCGCCGAAGCATCCTGACACTCGCTTCACTCTTCCAGATGTTCGTAAGAACATTCTTGATTCACGTGTAAGAACTGAATGCAATTTACAGTTTTTCGTTACTCACCTTCCTTAATTATTGGTGGCCCTAAAAGGAATTTCAAAGAATCTTAAATCTTTGATAAGTTCAAAGAATCAGACATTAAAAAATTAGATTCAGTGGATAAGACAAAATACGGTCTTTCTAAAAAGATGCTATGGTTCTGATCGCAGAAAACATCGTATTCAGTGTCTTGTAGTTCAGCAGTCTTAAAACGATGCGCTGCCCCTGGTGGCGATGTCACGAAGCAGCAATTATCAAGCTTGTGTACAGCAGAACAGCGTGTTTTTAGTGAGGACATTTTTACCAGGTAATTTTCTGCAATTAAAACTGGGGCATCTTTTTGGAAACAGTCTGTACATAGTAAAAAAGACAAACTATAGCACGTGAATTGATGTATCACCGTAATATAAAAGAAACACTGGCGAAAGTTAAATATTCTAGACCAAACCGAGTCCTGGGCCGCGCGAAGTCCGTTTCCGACACGGCGACTCGTGACGGGAGACGCGGACCTGGGCCGACGGAGGATGACCTTGATTTGTACTGACTTTCAGAAGATATTTCAAATGAGTTCACAAAGGTGGTTAGAAAAGAACAGCAGATATCCATGTAAAATTCAGATTTGTACCAGCAGTCAGTTTTATTACTAAACGGTTGACTTGCTCGGTCGATTGATCGATCAGCAAACAACTTTCACGCTTTACTTTGGTTTTGTTTCTTGATCGGTGACATAACGGATGAACACGCTGTCTTCTGGCATATTCTCCGGTGGCGTCTCGAGTTCGTACATGTAGCAGCACGCAATTGCAAGGACAGTGCCTGGAACAACACATATCAGTTTCATGCACGATGTGTTTAAACCTCGATTATATACGTTTAATTTAAACTTAAAATAAACGTCTCATGTAATGAGTACAGCCAATAATGAGAAAACCACTCTTATAAATGTTTTTTTAAGCATGGTCAATGTAATAATGTTGCATACAGAAATTTTATTGTTGTTGTTGTAAGTAGAATTCTTCTTCATTATTTTCAATACGAGTATCTAGAGCTGGGTATTGTACCACCAGCTTAACGGCAAGGTCACAAAACCCCACAATTAATCTGCGTGAACCCTGAATATCTTCCGGAATAGCTTAGTTAATATTTCATTATTATCACAAAATTCAATAAAATAATTCAAAGAATATTTTAATAACTGGAAATTTATAGTGGAATGAAAACTGAAAACGTCTTACAAATTTCTGAGCCCTAAAAACGACGAAGGCTTTGCCAGCTATCCCGACTTACCGTCGTGGCTGAAGCACAGCGACGAGATGGATGCGTTGTACCGGTGAAACTGACACAACCGTTTCTTGTTGAATCCATCCCATATGTTGACGTAACCATCAGAACCTCCTGTCGCAAATGTATTGTACCCTGTATGGAAACTGAGAAAACAAAACTCTCATCAGGATAAAATTATGAACATTCTGATTAACAAATAACAAAAAAAGATTTACTGTTTTTAGTTTATAATCAAGGGGTCCGCAGTGGCCGCGCGGTCTGAGGCGTGGGCCTTGTGCCGCGTGGTCGCTGGAACTGTGGGTTCAAATCCCACTCAAGCCATTGATGTTTGTCTGCGTTTTTTTGTGTTGTGCTGTCCTGTGTACAGGTAGAGGCCTTGTGACGGGCCGATCCCTCGTCCAAGGAGTCCTACCAAATGTCCACAGATCAAGCCAACGGGGAAAAAAAGTTGGGACCTGCAGTACTCAGGCACTTAAAGAACAGGTCATTCCCAGTATCCCCAGTTTATAATCAAACAGCTCCTATTTCCATTCTCACGTACGCACAAACCTTGTGTTCTAGATTGCCAGTATATCAGTATTGTATTTGCCACAATGAGAAATACACATCAGAATTACCACTCAAACAACTTTAAATAAAATCCCACAAATTTTTTGCTATAATCACATCATGTCGTCCTCCCATAATTTTACACCATCAGAATATCGATTCTGACGATACACACAGCGACACGCACATTAGTATAATTAATCTGAATACAAAGTGTAAACTTGCAAAATTAAAGCTTTGAGAAAAAACCCTCCAAAGTCTGAACGCAAATAAAAAAATACTTTAATGTTATATTATTGCACTGCAAGACATGCTTCTAATCTTGACATATGATTTTTCGTTAATATTCTGATTATAAGCAGGACCAAAAGCAACAATTACTGACAGTCTACCGATGTTTACTGAAGATGTATTACGTATCGTAATCACCTGATGGCATTCACGGGATAAATATTTTCAATGCCATTTTCTTTTATTCTATGGCATTTGAAAGCGTATTTCCTCTTCTGGACGTCAGGACTTGTATCCAAGTACTCAACAGCAACTCTACCTTCAATACTGCTGAGGACATAGCCCTAAAACAACAACAACAACAAATTTAAAAAGCGATTCTTACGGCTCTGATGCAGTAAGCCGCATCACGCACGTAACTCACCATGTGTGCCGTGTAATTTCTGGTACCAATTTCTACACAAAAGTCATTTATATAAATGTGGAGAAAAGAATAATTCTTTTCTGTGTTACCTGTCTGTTGGGGAAACAGCGAATGCATCTGGTCTGGTACTTGAGACTCGACTCCCTGCGTTGATGGACGTAGCCCATGTTGCGCAGATCCCAAACATACACTTTGCGTCCTGCTGTGCCCACAACAAACTTCTCACCGCATAGACTCATTGTGTATACCTTAAGAACACGCAACACGCAAATAAATCACTTTTTATAGAATGAAAGGCAGATGAGTTAAAATTCTAACACGTAAAATTTTTTGTGTTTAATTAATGAAAACACCGATGTGTAAAACATTGAACAGTTTTGTGCGATGCGATGGCTGAGGTGACACAAATGATCCTGAAATGCAAATTTTTATGAATTTCTATGATGTTAAAAATTTTGTATTCCTACATATATTTTTGAAACTAGATTTTGTTGAAGTGATTGCTAGTAGGAACCAAATAAATTAATTTAATTAAGTTAAATTAATATCTGGACAGGAAATACAGAAGAGTAAAAAATTTAATCTTACCTAATGTGGCGATCATTTAAAATTTAATGGTAATGAAACTCTCAAGCTGCACAAATCACACAATTTTCACCATACCTTGTCTGGCTGCGTGTATGTCCCCACACACCGTGGACTCCTAGGATCCCACAATTTTGCAGTTGCATCCCAACTTCCTGTCAATATGCCATTTACTTCTGGAGAGTACTCGACTGCTCGAATTGCATTGTCATGAGTTCCAACTACGGTTTCTGTACGACATGACACAACGTAAAATGACAAAGACGAGGCATTACTGTTATCAGAAAACAATTGTACTCATCGATATACACAGTGCAAACTGGGCACCACGAAAAGAGTATAATGGTATCTAAAGCTAATTTTTTGGAACAGTGCCTCCAACTAATCCTGCATTATTCTTTCAAAATATTCATTATCAATTATTTCTGAAAACATGTCATATTTACTTTCATCATTCCTGTGATAAATACAATAGAAATCACTATAGTTTAATAAGACAACACAAAATAAAATCTACAAGAAATACAGAATAAAAGTACCACCAAGCAGTATTATTTTTTAATATCTACCATTATCTATGGTTCCTCATTAACAACAATGACATGTACCTGTATTGCTATTGAAATCATACATCTTAAGAGTGTTGTCCAGTCCACCACTATACGAGTGCACAGCATCCTGTAACCAGCAACGTAAAAGAAAAGCATTTTATGCATTATTTGTTTATATAATGACATTATCAGTGACAGCAGCGTTAAATGATAGGATGATTAATACGCTGAAAAAGGCGTGGTAGGAAAATATAACGGCATAATTTAAAGGACCTACGCCTGCACGGGATTGCTGATCCGATATTTCCGGTCCCAAGCCCGGATAAAGGACGAGGGTCGAGCGAGAGGCTAACATCCTCTCCTTGTAAAAATTTAGTTGCTCATAAACCCAAAGAGACTAAAGGACACAACCCAGGCAGGAACATGGTACAAACCTAGGGACTTTGAATGTATCGAGTATATTTTCAAGTACCTCGGATCAATATTAAATGAGTGATGGCAGGAAATAAATGGTTATGCCCTGGGATCAATAATGAGATCCAAATAAATATCTCAAAAGTCAAAACTTAAATCCTACTGTACTTTTAGACCTAGGAAGTGACAGCTGGATGATGCTGAAGATGGTCTTAGATTGATGAAAGTGAAAAGGCGGAGAATGAGAGCAACAGTGAGGACAGTTTGGACAAGAATCATCAGTATAATTTAAAGACTATCCTGGCCTTTGCCTGTCACATGTAAAAAGTTTCATATCATCACAATATGTATAATTATTAATTTATAAAAAATGTTTCTGCCACACTGTATTATATTACATCCACAAAAATTTACATATCTTGCATATATTCCAAAGATAAACATTATGTCACCAAAACATCATTATTCCACATTAAATGGTGCTAGTCAGCCCTACCCGAGAAGTTTGCACGGCTAAGACGTTGGTATTAATAACGTTAGAAAATTAAAAACACAAAGGTTGAGTCACCTCTACAGTCAACGTTCATACCAAGTATCATCAAAACTGGTTAAAAATTTATTATGGAAGGGGAAAGAAACACAGACATGATGATACAATGCAAGCTTGTCATTCTTTATAGAATACCTCACCTGAAAACAAACATCCAAAACTGGCCTGTCATGAGTATACTTGAGCCATACGTTTAATTTAAACTTAAAATAAACGTCTCATGTAATGAGTACAGCCAATAATGAGAAAACCACTCTTATAAATGTTTTTTTAAGCATGGTCAATGTAATAATGTTGCATACAGAAATTTTATTGTTGTTGTTGTAAGTAGAATTCTTCTTCATTATTTTCAATACGAGTATCTAGAGCTGGGTATTGTACCACCAGCTTAACGGCAAGGTCACAAAACCCCACAATTAATCTGCGTGAACCCTGAATATCTTCCGGAATAGCTTAGTTAATATTTCATTATTATCACAAAATTCAATAAAATAATTCAAAGAATATTTTAATAACTGGAAATTTATAGTGGAATGAAAACTGAAAACGTCTTACAAATTTCTGAGCCCTAAAAACGACGAAGGCTTTGCCAGCTATCCCGACTTACCGTCGTGGCTGAAGCACAGCGACGAGATGGATGCGTTGTACCGGTGAAACTGACACAACCGTTTCTTGTTGAATCCATCCCATATGTTGACGTAACCATCAGAACCTCCTGTCGCAAATGTATTGTACCCTGTATGGAAACTGAGAAAACAAAACTCTCATCAGGATAAAATTATGAACATTCTGATTAACAAATAACAAAAAAAGATTTACTGTTTTTAGTTTATAATCAAGGGGTCCGCAGTGGCCGCGCGGTCTGAGGCGTGGGCCTTGTGCCGCGTGGTCGCTGGAACTGTGGGTTCAAATCCCACTCAAGCCATTGATGTTTGTCTGCGTTTTTTTGTGTTGTGCTGTCCTGTGTACAGGTAGAGGCCTTGTGACGGGCCGATCCCTCGTCCAAGGAGTCCTACCAAATGTCCACAGATCAAGCCAACGGGGAAAAAAAGTTGGGACCTGCAGTACTCAGGCACTTAAAGAACAGGTCATTCCCAGTATCCCCAGTTTATAATCAAACAGCTCCTATTTCCATTCTCACGTACGCACAAACCTTGTGTTCTAGATTGCCAGTATATCAGTATTGTATTTGCCACAATGAGAAATACACATCAGAATTACCACTCAAACAACTTTAAATAAAATCCCACAAATTTTTTGCTATAATCACATCATGTCGTCCTCCCATAATTTTACACCATCAGAATATCGATTCTGACGATACACACAGCGACACGCACATTAGTATAATTAATCTGAATACAAAGTGTAAACTTGCAAAATTAAAGCTTTGAGAAAAAACCCTCCAAAGTCTGAACGCAAATAAAAAAATACTTTAATGTTATATTATTGCACTGCAAGACATGCTTCTAATCTTGACATATGATTTTTCGTTAATATTCTGATTATAAGCAGGACCAAAAGCAACAATTACTGACAGTCTACCGATGTTTACTGAAGATGTATTACGTATCGTAATCACCTGATGGCATTCACGGGATAAATATTTTCAATGCCATTTTCTTTTATTCTATGGCATTTGAAAGCGTATTTCCTCTTCTGGACGTCAGGACTTGTATCCAAGTACTCAACAGCAACTCTACCTTCAATACTGCTGAGGACATAGCCCTAAAACAACAACAACAACAAATTTAAAAAGCGATTCTTACGGCTCTGATGCAGTAAGCCGCATCACGCACGTAACTCACCATGTGTGCCGTGTAATTTCTGGTACCAATTTCTACACAAAAGTCATTTATATAAATGTGGAGAAAAGAATAATTCTTTTCTGTGTTACCTGTCTGTTGGGGAAACAGCGAATGCATCTGGTCTGGTACTTGAGACTCGACTCCCTGCGTTGATGGACGTAGCCCATGTTGCGCAGATCCCAAACATACACTTTGCGTCCTGCTGTGCCCACAACAAACTTCTCACCGCATAGACTCATTGTGTATACCTTAAGAACACGCAACACGCAAATAAATCACTTTTTATAGAATGAAAGGCAGATGAGTTAAAATTCTAACACGTAAAATTTTTTGTGTTTAATTAATGAAAACACCGATGTGTAAAACATTGAACAGTTTTGTGCGATGCGATGGCTGAGGTGACACAAATGATCCTGAAATGCAAATTTTTATGAATTTCTATGATGTTAAAAATTTTGTATTCCTACATATATTTTTGAAACTAGATTTTGTTGAAGTGATTGCTAGTAGGAACCAAATAAATTAATTTAATTAAGTTAAATTAATATCTGGACAGGAAATACAGAAGAGTAAAAAATTTAATCTTACCTAATGTGGCGATCATTTAAAATTTAATGGTAATGAAACTCTCAAGCTGCACAAATCACACAATTTTCACCATACCTTGTCTGGCTGCGTGTATGTCCCCACACACCGTGGACTCCTAGGATCCCACAATTTTGCAGTTGCATCCCAACTTCCTGTCAATATGCCATTTACTTCTGGAGAGTACTCGACTGCTCGAATTGCATTGTCATGAGTTCCAACTACGGTTTCTGTACGACATGACACAACGTAAAATGACAAAGACGAGGCATTACTGTTATCAGAAAACAATTGTACTCATCGATATACACAGTGCAAACTGGGCACCACGAAAAGAGTATAATGGTATCTAAAGCTAATTTTTTGGAACAGTGCCTCCAACTAATCCTGCATTATTCTTTCAAAATATTCATTATCAATTATTTCTGAAAACATGTCATATTTACTTTCATCATTCCTGTGATAAATACAATAGAAATCACTATAGTTTAATAAGACAACACAAAATAAAATCTACAAGAAATACAGAATAAAAGTACCACCAAGCAGTATTATTTTTTAATATCTACCATTATCTATGGTTCCTCATTAACAACAATGACATGTACCTGTATTGCTATTGAAATCATACATCTTAAGAGTGTTGTCCAGTCCACCACTATACGAGTGCACAGCATCCTGTAACCAGCAACGTAAAAGAAAAGCATTTTATGCATTATTTGTTTATATAATGACATTATCAGTGACAGCAGCGTTAAATGATAGGATGATTAATACGCTGAAAAAGGCGTGGTAGGAAAATATAACGGCATAATTTAAAGGACCTACGCCTGCACGGGATTGCTGATCCGATATTTCCGGTCCCAAGCCCGGATAAAGGACGAGGGTCGAGCGAGAGGCTAACATCCTCTCCTTGTAAAAATTTAGTTGCTCATAAACCCAAAGAGACTAAAGGACACAACCCAGGCAGGAACATGGTACAAACCTAGGGACTTTGAATGTATCGAGTATATTTTCAAGTACCTCGGATCAATATTAAATGAGTGATGGCAGGAAATAAATGGTTATGCCCTGGGATCAATAATGAGATCCAAATAAATATCTCAAAAGTCAAAACTTAAATCCTACTGTACTTTTAGACCTAGGAAGTGACAGCTGGATGATGCTGAAGATGGTCTTAGATTGATGAAAGTGAAAAGGCGGAGAATGAGAGCAACAGTGAGGACAGTTTGGACAAGAATCATCAGTATAATTTAAAGACTATCCTGGCCTTTGCCTGTCACATGTAAAAAGTTTCATATCATCACAATATGTATAATTATTAATTTATAAAAAATGTTTCTGCCACACTGTATTATATTACATCCACAAAAATTTACATATCTTGCATATATTCCAAAGATAAACATTATGTCACCAAAACATCATTATTCCACATTAAATGGTGCTAGTCAGCCCTACCCGAGAAGTTTGCACGGCTAAGACGTTGGTATTAATAACGTTAGAAAATTAAAAACACAAAGGTTGAGTCACCTCTACAGTCAACGTTCATACCAAGTATCATCAAAACTGGTTAAAAATTTATTATGGAAGGGGAAAGAAACACAGACATGATGATACAATGCAAGCTTGTCATTCTTTATAGAATACCTCACCTGAAAACAAACATCCAAAACTGGCCTGTCATGAGTATACTTGAGCCTCATGTTATTTGTTATAACATCATACAAACGAACAGTACTGTCCCAAGAAGATACAAGTAAGAATTGTGCAGAGTTAGGTCCAAATTTAACAGATGATATGCCATCTTCTGGAGGTGTTTTCAGCTTAAATTCAGTTCTTGATTCAGTCATTCCTAAACAAACAAGTACTCCAGTAGTCACAAATAAATACACAGAGATAAAATACATCATGTGCACTGTCATACATATAAATCTATTTATTTTATTTCCCCATACTATTATTCTTTACTGATAATGCAAGAATTAAAAAAATACTGTTTGTATAAAACATTTTTTACTTGAGGGGCCTTTCTATACAGAACTTACTAAAATAATGTGATAATAAACACACTTCTACATCAGCTACAGAAGTATTATAGTGAGATCTCAGGTTCTCATGCTGACAAGTATGATGTATGTCTTCTGGGATGTAGTGTACCACGTAATATGGCAAAAACCAATGAGGTGTTTCTGAGCTGCTTACCAGTCTACCACACTACACACTGCAACACCCCAGAAGACAGACATTTTCAAGTACTACAGTGTTGTAGCAACATTATCCTTTATTGCTCCATAATTTGCTTTGTGAGATTACAATGAGCTGCTAATCAAGAGACAGAAAATTGCACTGTAATATAAAATAACTCACTGAGAATCAAATGATTGTCTGATATAAACTGGTTAAATTTCATAATATAAGTGAGATTCACTGGCTTTCCCTATATCTTCAAGGCACCAAAGACATCATTCATGCAAATTCGGAAAATAAATTTCTGAGTGTCAAATGATAACATTCGTCATTCATTCATTTTCACTTCAAGGAATAGGCCTGTGCCCCGTTCCAGGGCAGTTGCTTAAGACAACTTATCCTTATATCTTAACATTAGAACCAACCGTAGAAAATACGGGTTTCAACCAAGAGTTAATGGTTGGCGGTAAATCATTATATATATATATATATATATGGGTAAAGCCAGGGGATAATTCATAAATATCGATAAAAACAATTATTATTTATCTTATGATAACACCATTCGAGATGAGCATACTGTAGTTGTCAACATGCCCTGGTCCTGTGGTACCCAAACTTCCATAGTACTGAAGAAATTAAACTTTAATATCCGAAAATAATAAAATATTAGTGCGTATCAAAATAAAAGCAAATATTTAAGAGTATTACCTACCGCCTATAAATATTAATTTGCCAAGGGCTTTCAAAATTACTAACAAAGCTACGACACGCGTCACACTTCAAATGCAATTACCATATCGCACGAGAATCAAAACCATAAACACACAATAACCCACTTGCAACACCCAATATTCTATTGAGCAACATGGCACACCTGCCACAACATAAGTTATTGTGCTGCGCCCTATAAGCGATTTACACAACCCAGTCGGCAAGAATGTAAACTACTCTTCAGCCTTCACATTGCCACCTCTCTCTCTCTCTCTTGACCGACATACCAACCTATCCAACATACAACCGGAACAATTTTGAAACATTGATATTGTAATAATGTCTTTGAGGAACATGATCCATATTTCGGGAAAAGTTACTATGTTTACAATAATTTTCACATAACGACACTAATATCAACACTCATATAATCACGATACGTGCAGATGTTCCAGTTGCTTTGATCATGTGGCTTGTCAATCGCTGCCGACTTCTTGCTAAATCTGTTGTGAATAACAGAATACTGGAAGTTCTTATAAATCGTGTGAAGATGTCTCCACGTATGCTGCTAACTGATGTGTATGTGGAAACATGTGTCCATACGCTCTTCTTCGTGAAGGTTATTTCAGATGGCGGGTACAATAAATATTACATGCCACTCATGAAGGCGTTACATCCATAGCTTAAAAGGCACGAAAGACCAGGATGCTAGTTGCTTGAACTGCAAGTTCTTTTTTGTGTCATCCCGAAAATACAGTTTTAGCCAAAGATGTACGAAATGGACAGTCCCGCAATTAATTTCTTCTAAAAATTCGCATTCAACAATTTAAACATAGTGTCTCCTAACAACAAGACATTCGCGTTCTTGTTTCGGAATTTGTTGTTTTAAAAATGGACCCCCTTCTAAACGGAGACTTTAAAGGTGAGAAGATATTTTTTGAAACCGAAAATGTTACAGTTGAAGGAATTGTTGACTCATTTGATCATGGGAACAATATGATAACCATGAAGAGGGCTGTACACTATCCCTTGGGAAAAGAATTTCATGGAGAATATCACTTCTACATAAATGAAGCAAAACGTATATACATTCTGAAATATGTCAAACACGCAGAAAGTGAAGAAATCATGGAAAAGTCTGGATGCTCCAGGACTCCATCTCATTTGCAAAACAAATGGCACAGTTGTGGTATTGACCACTTCCTAACAGCAGAAGAATATGATACTTTAATTGGTGTGGCTGATGGTGCAATTCTCATTGACTGTATTGACAAATTTTTCAACAAAGCTATAGAAGCTATTAAAAATGAGGCAGTGATTGGAATCGATGCAACAGGTGCAAGTAGTGTTGGTATGTCTTATCAAGTAACACTCCTTAGTATAGCCATACAGATGTGTGTGTACCAGTTTGACATCCAGAAACTTGGAATGGCAGCTTTTGATGCTGGCTTACGATCTGTCCTAGAAAGTAAGGTCCAGAAAGTAATTCACGATAGTCGTCTTTTATCAGCTTGTTTGTATCACAAATACTGGGTCAGGATAGATAATGTTTTTGACACACAAGTAGGTGAGCTGATGATAGAGAAGAATTCATGCGGAAAGTTTCCAAAATATGTATGCAGTTTACCAGAATGTGTGAAAATATTTCTGGGAATTCCACCTGCAGTAGTACAATTCAACAAAAATGATACAGTATGGTGGACCAAGCGCCCTTTGTTACAAAGCCTTAAGTGTCCAGCAGCACGTAATGCTGTCTTTCTGTTACCCCTACAGCAACGTATCAAAGCCAAAATGTTCTCACCTGTAACACAAGGTATTAACATTTTCCTGAAAGCAGTCAGAGATGCAGGAAATGATGAAGCCAACCTGCACATAGGAAACAACCACCTTGTTCCACAAGAATTTCTTATGCTAGAAAGTACAACCACACAAATGTAAGACTATTAAAAAAATAGCTCACACACACACACATATGTGTATACAGTACTCTGAAGCTGTGAGGTACAGCATTATTTATTAGTTTTTAGTTCAATTATGCTGTTAGTAGGTAAGACTATGTAATGTCAGATGACTAATGAAAACTTTTGAACTGATTTTGAGGTGGAAAATTATTTACCACACCTCACCTTAAGGACAGATCTGGTCCTCAAAATGTAGTGTAAATTTATAACATCAGACAATAGACGAAGTCCAAAAGCCCAACTATTCAGATTATAGAATTGTTTGTTCTGTAGTTTATTTAACAATGTTGTCAGTAGCTCAGACTATACAGCATCAGTTTACAAATAATTAAATTGAAAGTATATGGAAGCAAGATGTCATGGCATAATTTCAGGTACTATCCCAACATTTACCTGGAAGGACTGAGGAAAACCACACAAAACCTCAAAGCCAGTCTCTGGGCCCTCCCAAATGTGAAGCAGGTTTTCTTCCCACTAGGCTACATTTTGTGATGAAGTATATAGAATGAGATAAAGACATAGGACCAGAAAATGACAAGTATTCAGATTTATACTGCATTCGTATTTGACACGTATCCTATATTACTGCCAAATTCTTCTGTTTTGCAACACATACGATACATAATTATGGGGAAATACAAATAATAAATAGTTGGTCCTTTGTGATAACATGCTATTGAGCACTGAAGCCATAGAAGTTAGCACCCCTGAATTAAGACCTCAGAATGGAGACTGGCTATCCTGTATATGGTACTTCATGGGTTTTCTCAGTCCATCCTGGCAAATGCCATTTAGGTCAAGACTGCTTCCCTCCACAGTCTTTCCAATTCATTATTCACAAATAATTGTATCACTCAACACTATATAAACTGAGCTAGTGACAGTATCATTCAGTAAATCATAAATAAGACATTGTGCTCAAACAGTTCTAATGGCTTTTAAAACCTTTTTTATTTCATTGTTATTGGAACATATATATAATTTCTCATGTAATATAATTGTTTCATGTATGTGCACTTGATGGTTTCCAAAAGTCATTAGAATCTCAGTTTACAATATTATAAATTAAAATATCCTTTTAAGATAATTTAGCAGTTCTGTCGTAAGGCACTTAATAAGACTACTTGATAAAAAAATTTCAAGTAATTTTCAGTTAATGCTGATCAATAACACTGTTACAGAAAATTACACTAGTTTAATGGTAATCTAGTACTAGAAAACAAAAGATTAGGTGCAGAAAGAATACATGATTTAAGCAAACCAAGTTAGATTATTAGTACAAAAACGTTAATTATTTTTAGTATGTGTGAATTAACATTTAACATACATTTACAAAAATGATTTACTTCCCCCTCCCCAATGTTATATTAATGGAGAAACATCCTCTTTGGCACTAAACCCTTCACATTTCCTTAACATTTTTTGCAATTAAATATTTGTTCTGCTATAAAGTACTTTGTTCACACCATTGTATGATTTATGTTATCTGAACCTAAGACACTTTGTGTGGTAAAATGTATTTGGCATAGATGAAGGTCACAGAAATTAATTCTTATCAGGCTCTATAGGTTTTCAATGAAGTCTGTCTTGGATTTAATGCAAAATTCTATGTTTCATCAGACATCAATAATCATACCAAAAGATTTTTCCTAACCTATCAAAAGTGGAAGGTGGGGCAAGAAATAGCACATATTCAATAACAAAAGGCATTTGGAGAATAATGCTGCAAAAGTTCATCATGATAGGAAAACATTGTCTACAAAAGATAATAATGCTTCATTCCACACATGTAGCTCCCGAAAAGTATTGTTAACCTGTGCAGGTTCACATACAGGGATCAACAAGAAAAATTACATGATGGTAAAAAAGGACATTATTTTCAGTCTATCTTAACCCTTATATAAGGTCCATATTAAATGGGCCCCTTTTCACCATAGAATGACACACAGACTGCAGATGGATATGGCCTCCAGCATTTGTGAATCTATTAAATAAGCAGTTAAAGCTAATATTGGGTTGTCATTTAGTATGGTAGTTGAACAGGGGATAAGAACCCTTTTAACATAAAGAAAACTAGCATATTACAAAATGTACCACAGAACTTTGGATAGATCCTTTAGAATTACCAAAGAAATGGAAAACTGGCATAAGGTTTTGAACTTGGAATGGCAGGAGTTAATGGCACTGAACCTGTAGATGATAATACATTTTCCTACATAAAAGGAATTGACTTTGTATACATTTATCATCTCTCCTATGCATGCTACATATCCCACTAACCTCCTCCTAAATGTGATCACCCTAACAATATTAGGTGAAGGTTGCAAACTATGCAATTTTATTGAGATTTCTGTTGTTTCTGCCCTCTTATTGACAGACAAGTCAATTTAATATTACCTTGTGCATACTTCTTAATTGCATATCATCAGCAATGGTGATTTTTGGCATTTATTTAAATTGAATATCATTCAATGGTGTTAATTCCTATATTGTAAATAAACATGTTTAGAATATTTTTAGATTCTTATTGTATAATGCGAGACAGACAGGACAACAGTCCATGCAAAATTCACTATTGTTTTACTGGTCTGTGCATCAGAAATGGTTGGAAAATGCTGACCAAAACATGTTCTGTGAATACAGACTTGATATCATATAAAGTAATTGGGAAAGAATGAGAGGAAGAAACAAGACTTTTGACTGAATTTCACTCAAAGAAAGACAGTATGGTTGCAAATAATACAATATAGAAGAAAGTGCTTTGGTACACAATTTCATTATAACACAATCTTTCAACAATCTTAACTGCAGGATAAATGATATACATTTCTGAGTTATATATAAAATAAAACATGAACATGAAAACTACAAAAATATCTGAAGTATTTTTCCTTACTTCAGCACTTAGACAATACAGATGTATGTGGAGATAAGGATAATTTACTTGGCTATAAAAGTCTCCCATTTCTTGGAATTATAAGTACTTGTGTCCCAAAACGTCAACACCAGAACTAAATTTAATGTTATGGGCTTCAGAAATCATACCTATCTTCAGATAGAGATGATTTCATCAGACAGGTATTTATGAACATAAGCCGGGGTAGTTTAGTCAGTATAGTGACTGGTTACAGACTGGACGACTGGGGTTCGATCCCTGACAGGGAGAGAGGATTTTTCTCTAGCCTCTGTCCAGACCTGTTCTGAGTCCCACTCAGCCTCCTATCCAATGGGTACCAGGGTCCTTTCCCGGGGGTAAAGCGTGGCTGGGGCGTGATGCTGACCAAATCACCCCCATGGTCAAGCATGAGTAGACCACCTTTCCCCCTAGTGCCTACATGGTGTATAGTGGGACAGCTTTCCTTTAGCTTTACTGGTATTTATGAATTAATAGCTTATTGTGTTGTCCAAAAAACTTTCTGCAACACAAAATTTTGTTATAATTCAACAGATAAATTTGTGGTGGAACTTCTCAAGTAACACTTTTTGAAGTTCTGATCATCGTAAGATCAAAACTGCAGCAAAGCAAGAGGACATGAAAATATGTACCTTAAAGATTTTAAAAAACACTAAAATAAATTAATTCACTACATGCTTAAACTTTTTGTTACTGAAATTATCTTCTGAAAAAGTATGTCACCAAATGGTTTGTTAGAACAGACACTGTATTATATTGCATATATTTAATATTATTAAATCACACATTCTCCTCTTCATTTTAAAGTATTATTTTATAACTTACCCGCTAATTTATCACAATGATAAAATTCATTGGGAAATGACTATACAGGTTGTCCCAAATACACAGCAGCATCTTTGGTGGCCACTTGTAAGTCAGTTGCCCACTGCTGTCAACTGTGCCACAAAGCTTATGGTGGTGATTTTGAACATCTACACTAATTTAGCTAATTCACAAAGTACTAATGCTGATATATGTAATGGTTTAGTTTATTAAAATTTCTGTATTTCATTCATTGAATGTGTGTATAAATCTTTTTGGGACAGACTGTACAATGTATTAAATCCAAAACCCAATTTCTATCTGTTTTTTACATCCTTTATATGAGCACAAAGACAACTTAAACTGCAAGGTAACTATTATTCAGTTAATTTATAACAATTTCTGAAAATAAACCCTAAGTCACAAAGAAGTTATTAAACTATAAATCTGTACTTATAATATAAGTTTTAAAAAAATGGACTACAGTTTTAAGTGCTTTCTCTGCTGGAGACATGTAAGGTATCATGCTGTAACATGTAATACCACTATCAGGCATCGAACAACAGTGACTGTGAGACAGCTCAGGCAGTCAACATATTTCCTGGTGTATAAGACACACAACAATTTTGGAAGAAAAAATTAAGAAATATTTTTAAATCTATACACTAATGACAGAAAAATATAAGGCAGGGGGTTTATAAGTACAAGGAAAACCCAAAGACATGCACATCAAAGATTCAAAAATGTTTAGGCTATAAACTGATAAAATACAGGAACCAGATTTGAAGGCCAATATAAAGAGGAAAGGACAAACCATAATCAAGGAGTCACTTCCAGGAAGACAGCTTTTTAACGATGGCTTTTAATATGTACATCATCATTATCTGCCAGTGTATAAGATGCACTGTTAATATTCTGGTCATTTTTAGGGAGAAAACTGCGCCTCATACACCAGAAAATATGGTAGATGCCGTCACAGGATCAGTACCAGGGGAGTCCATGTGAAATTTGTGGATAACAAAGTGACACTGGGAATGTTTATCTCTGAGTGCTTTGGTTTCTCCTGCATTGGTCATCATTTGACCAATGATCAAGCCATACACATCTGTCACTGCCCCTGACACATGCCAGCACTGACCCACCAGCATAACACAACCTTACCTCCCATCTGGAGCCTCACCTCTTACTCAAATATTGCTTGACCAAGAGTTAAGGAGTTTAATAATTATACAAAATGTTCAGTTTCACTTACAGTATTTACAGATACTGGAATCTCATGTATAAAATTCTCAAGGAAATAACAGACTGATTCCAAGACTGGCCTAACAACCTGTCACAGCTATATATCATGATGTCAGAAACAAGAAGAAATAGTGGAATAATGTGATTATTATCAAACAGTAATTAATCTGAACAATAACATTATCAGCAAGGCAACTGGCAACGGCACAGGAAACATTCTCATTGCTTCCTCACAAAATGGTGTGATAATGTGTAGAATTTCAAGAGTAATGAAAACAATACATTGACATTTAAGAATTTGGACATGTTCTTATCTGTAGCATTGATCTTTCTTTTTAGAAAAATATTGAACAATGTAATTAACATAACTGAATACTGCTATAACATTTCTGAAACAGCAATACTTTAAAAAGTGTACACAAAAAATTTACTGATCCTAACATTTTAACTCACAATTAACATATAAATCAACTTCATAACTGGACCCTCATGCTTGGTATAACAAGATATATAAAGATTTCTGGCTTCTGGGTTGTTGCGCTGTGTAGTCTGGTCGATGTTAACCAACGTTTCAGAGGTCATACTGCCTCCGTCATCAGGGCTATGAATATGAATATTCATCACCCTCTGAAACGTTGGTTAACATCGACCAGACTACACAGCACAACAACCCAGAAGACAGAAATCTTCATACTTACCGCTGTGAAAACCTCAAATCTTACAACAAGATATATAGTTTTGTTCATTAACCACTCATTACTTCAACTGCTGTTATTTCCAACAAAAACTTGTTGCCATAATATCCAGCACATAACACACTTAAACCTTTGCAATAGTTTGTGCATCTTGCACATTTATTTGCTTCTAGGTACAATTACTGAGGGTTAAAAGCACAAACACAGTTCTCTAACAATAGCAACATATTAAACCATGTGTGGGAGCATAATTTTTAAGTGGTGGAAATATGTACATGAGTGTTCTAGGAAAGATTAACTTTAGAACATATTAACAGTGTGTATGAACAAACTGAATTAAGTACACTCATTAAGTCTATTTGACATATATACAGGTAATGCCCTGCACTTTACTTTGCCATCATATTCTCAAATATCACAAGGACAGAGTACTCCTGGCAAGACAGCAATTTACAATACTGGAATAAAAGATGGAAACTACAAAGGTGTATGATCCATTCACAGAAGCTTCTATGACTTAATCAAATGTTACGTTGACGGCCAGTTAGTATGCCCATCAATTATTATTAAATAATTTAAGACAAGACTTTCCATTGCTAGACTAACACAGAAGACACTCACCACGAAAGAAATTACCTCCCTACAGGAATTAGTAACATCTTTTGTCAGAGTGGTTGTACATAAAAATGTATTGCATGGAAGAACAAACATATCAGCAAAACTTTGAAAGAACGAGAACTGTTGATAAGCATAAAGATTTATTGGCTTCTTTTGCATAGAATATTCGTGTACCTTTGACATGTTAGAAACTTGGGCATGTTTAAGTAATTCAAATGCGTGTTATGTGCTAGAAAGTGTATAAATGGGACATTTGTACACTGCATACTAATCTATAACATTTTACCTAAACTCACATATAAGGCACTAGGCAAATTCAACAGGAACTGATAATTATATTGACTGTTTTTAATACAATAACCTACAAAATATCTATATAAAATCCTCAAAGCTAATAAAATATTGCTTATCTGTTTCCCCCTCTCAACTGTTCAGTCTATAGGTCGCGCGAGATGTGCTGGCACTTGCGCAAAGGACTGATTTTGGTCATATGAGATGGACCTGTCCGAAGCACACGCTAAAGGGGTGTCAGCTTCGGTTGATTTGTAACTCTAGCTGTGTTTAAATTGGTTGTCACTGCAGCTGAGGCTATACAACCCCCACTACTACTGAACTCCCCTCTCTCGGCTTACACATCACTCATTTAGGTGCTACCACTACTCACGGGACCTTTACTAAGTACTCTACATGCAGTTCAAAGGTAGGGAGACCCCTGTACCTTTTCAAAAATCATTTCATTAAATTAAAAAATACTGAATATGTTATCCTACTGTCCAAAAAAAAAAACTTTTTTATTTATCCACCTGTGTACAGATTCTTATTTATAAACAATTCCAATTAAAAATGTTGCTCATCCCCCAATAGAAAATTGTCACCCAGGTCAAGAATGAAACCATAAAATCATCCTGTTTAATATACACCTCAGCATTGGGTAAATGCTTGTGCAGATGAAAACTTTTGTATCTTGTATTGCTGGCCCCAGAGCTGGTCTGGATGTTGTGAAGGAAAAAATCCTGCCCTGCCAGTAACTGAACTGTCAACTATTCACATTATTTATAAGTCTGCTTCAGTGGGGGACATTTGCAACAATTTGTTTTCAGATAAACACATATTTCATTTTACTCTCTTGCCTGCATAAGTAAATGTTTGTGAAAGCTTTTGAGTGATGAAAGACAACTAAGAAAACCTAAAGATAAATACATATTCGGGGAAAGACAACATATTGCAAATTACATGGCAAGAATGAGAAAAGTCAAATACAAGCATGTGAGGTAGTTTCTTCAGATCTTCAAAATTAAAGAAGACATAACCATCTCCCTTAATCTCAATGGGACAGGAAGCAATATAATTTATACCTACATCCCCCCTAAATGACAATTTTCCAAAGAAACCAATCTCCACTACTAACCTCAGGAAATTCTCAGAAAGATTCAATCTTTAGATAAATATAAATACAAATATTTATTAAAAAATAAGAATACTGCATCACAGATGTGAAGTACAATGGTGACACGACTAGACTCTTTTTGGCTTTTGGACCACAGCATATTCTTGTTCGTTGTAAACTTTGTGGTTGGGCCCGAGATCATTTTGAGCATTGGGAGTTGATTTCTTACGTATCATGCCATAACCATGATGAGAGTCATCAGCCATGCGGCATGCCTGCATCTTCTCATCTATGACATCATACTCATTCCAGGATGGATGTAGGTCAACTGGAACTGCTGGAACAGGGGGTGGGGCACTAGCTGGAGGAATAAGCCGGTACCCTGGGTTGCTATTGAGTTTAGATGATGACCCAAAGTGCTGCAGTTTGTCATAATCCTCCATGGATTCAAGTTTGCTTGAGATTTGTGTCAGCAAGATCTTTGAACATGGAGGTCTGACTGAACTACTACTTACAGGTTCTGGCACTGCAGCAGGATTTCCATCTGTTTCCTCCTCAGTGTCACTTGCAACAAACTGACGTTCAGTATGCGCTAAGTCGGTTACTCCCATAGTACGCCATGCCTCTTTACGAATCTCCACTTTATCATATGCTAAAGGTTTAGGATTCTCAGAAACAGGTGTTGTAACTGCTGAAGGAATGGCTAGTACAGGCAGAATATAACTGTTCTGAAGCTTTCTATACCTTCCAAATCCACCACAATCCAACGCCAAATCATCAGATTCTTTAATTTTCTTCGGAGTGGCGGTAGGCTGGACATGCTTTCGAGGTGGCTTGGAAGGCCTTGGTTTAGGTTTTATTAATGGAGGAGTACTGTTAGTTACTAAAGGCTTGTTTTCTGTAATTGGAGAAATTAATGGCTTAATGGATGACTGTGACATGGCACTGATATCTAAGTCAAGTATAGGCGTGGCACTTGTTGGGGAAGGAGGTAGAGGACTCCGAGATCTTGCCTCCATACTGAGAGCAGCCTGGAACTGGTTATCTCCACACATAATGATAGGTGTGGATGGCGCTTCACCAGACAAGAGCTTCCGCATGCTCTTCATCTTAGAAGAGAGACATCTGAATATCTCCTGCTGATTTGAGTGCTCCAAATGAAAAACTCCTTCACCTGTATCACACTTACGGCCAGCTTCAAAAATGAACTTGCCTTCTCGGTACCCATACCGCCTAATATAGCGATATGGCCAGGTAAAGAGGAGGCGGTGCTCCTGACTGTCACGAAGTTGTATGGCTGCTGAAGCTACCACTAGTGTATAAGGTCCTGGTTCCAACTTGCAGCGTGTAGATGCTTCTGAAGGCACCAAGTTCACAGTGAATACACCTGGCAGACATCAGAAACATGAATAAATTCAGAATTGAACAGAAATGCATGATGCACATCTAGAAACTGTACATTTGTATTCCAATCTTCTTACTTCCTATAGCAACACATTTTGAACTACAGACTAAATTATAAAACACTGTGAATGAAAGATTTTAGACAAAAATATTCACTCTAGAACTGGTGTATACACAGCATATGTTGTAATAAAATTATATGTACTAAACTCAAGGGTTTATTGTAAACTTTGAAAACATCTTTCCACTAACAGCAATTCATAGTTATTCACACTTTTACCAAGTTCTGTATCAAGAAGAAATTAGATACTGTGTGAAACTTTGCCTGCTAAAATATCTTAAGTAACACTGTTTCAGAAATTGTATCTGCTAGTCTTCAGGTGAATGATTAACATGGTGTGTTTTCCTAGTGCTTCACTTTTAGTATAAGTACTTGTAATTATGTACATTAGTGCATGGAGTACAGATGGTTGAATGATCATAGCTGCAACTACAAGTATATGAAAAATGATTTCTTAGGATTACAAAATTGTCATAATGAATCTTACACATCTGATGAGATGCTTACAAACATAATATTATATACTGATCTTAAGACTGGCCCACTGACAAAATAGTAGGTGCACATCAAGTTGTAATGACACAAAAATTAACATGCACACACTGAAACTGAATACTAACCTTCACCTGAGGAGCAATACAAGTCATTGTCCTCTTCAATGGTATGTCTTGAACAGTCATCCTTGAAGACAACAGACTGAAATGCTGATATCCAATCTGACATCTCCTTCTCTGACAGAGAAGCAAAGTGATGGATAGCAGACTTCGTGACAATCTGTCATGCAATAAAATATCTGTTCAGTGAGTGAGTCAGACTTGGGGAAATATACTGTAATGTAATCAGTGACTACACTTGTTTCTTTCGTGACAACATTTATACCTCCAAATAACCTTACATAATTTTTCTGCAGAGGAACACCCATATTACATACAATTTACCATCAGTGATAACATTTTAATACAAGGACATCAAACTTTTGCTGTGAAAATATTTTAATATTAATGAGCTTTATGCAAAGGTTTACAGGTAACTAAATAAAGATTCTCCAAATTACAGCGACAGCAGTGACAGGTATTAACATTTTCCAGTGCAGTGCACTATCCAATAGTAAGACACTTACAGCAAATACATTTGGTTGATGTTTCTGAGCATCCTGCATAATTTTGATGCAATTTTCCAAGGTAATTATCCTAACAGTTGTATTCCTTGATACTTCCTCTTCATTATCAAATACCTCCAATCGTTCAATGCCATTCTTGCTTGACTTAAACAGCTGACAGAATTTCTTATGCCATGATTTCTGAAATTAACACAAGGCTCAGGTTATAAAAACTGAATAAGTGATGTTCAAATAAACTGTACAAATAAAACAAATACTCATGATACTACATAACCAGCTGGCACATTAATAAATTGATACAGGATTCTGCAAGATGCAAACATAAATGGAAATGTATAAACTTAAATCAATTATAGAGGATTTGGAAAAGGTTGTGACCATATAAAGTTTATCCATAAAATATATATTTTTAATTATGCTCAAACATTAACCTGAGATAATATAAACTAATAATAACAATATGATAACATAATTTCTAATAACATATAATAACCTAAGCAAACTCTAAATGTGTCATTAGAACCAAGTTAAAATATCAACTATTCATAAGTGCCCTCAGTCACACTAAAACTGACTTTGTAAGGACTTCACAAATATGTTTATAACTATCATTTTGATAAGACACATTCTTAGTTTCATACAATTCTTGCACTGATAACAATCTAGCAATCACTGGTTTTGCAAGTATTGGTTCAATTGGCCACCCTAATAATTTTAATGTTATGAAACACCTCTCTCTAGCAGCCATATTTTAAAACAACCACAACAGCTTATGTACCTGTCACAATGGGTGGTAAATGTGCTGGTTATACTGAACACAGAAAGGCAAGAAAGAGTAGGTGGAGACATAACTTGGCAAGAATGCAATGAATATCTGAACACACAGCACCCTGACAATTTTAAGGGTTGTCTAACTACTGAATTGTAAGTCACACTGTGTCCAAGTGGTTAACAAGATCTACTTTCAACAGTAGTATCATGGTCCTCTTGGCAAAGCATGCTAAATTTAGATGCTATTATTCATTAACTGATTTACCATCATAAAGTACATCAAAATTAATACTTGTTTTGTTGTTAGCAGCAAATTTAACAAACCGTGTCAAAATCAATATACACACAAATGCGAATATTCTTCCACTGTTTCTTCACATTGCAGTACAGTAAATGAAACTAACCTTTAGCTGTCCCAAAACACCATGGGGTGGGAACAACAAATGTCCTTCTTTGAAAGGTTTTTCTGTTTCCATAATTCTTAATGAGCCTGAGCATGTCACCACCATGTACCATGCACATATCAAAAATCACGTTGCCTTACATATACCGATCACCACAGCCAATAGGAAACGTAATTTGCACCCTTGCTTCTTGACATCTGCAGGAAACATCACAGAACGCAGCGATAACTCGGCAAATCATTATTGCCATGTTTGACAAAAACACTACAAGGAAATATGGGAATAAAATTAGTATTTAATGCTTATGATACTTCTAGATTAAATTAGAGAACACGTGTATGTCAGTAAGTCATATTTATTCACTTGTATCAATTTCATAAAATGTCGAGAAACAAAGGTGTATATTTAATAGCAAAAACACACTTTCATAAACATAATTTGGCAACACAGTGTACACGCCCACGGTCGAACCGGATGTAAATAAGATTTATAGTAAACTGGGAAATAGATTCATTTCCGGTAATCAAATGACCTCTGATGGAAACATATCCAACTGTTTCATCTGCCATCTTATGTATGAAATAAGGCTAAAATGTAACTGATATATAGCTGTAAAATAATAAATATATATATATATCGGCTTAATAAAGTCACTGAAGTCTTCCGATTCACATTCGAGATTCTTTTGTACGCATCCATCTGCTTGATCCAGTAGTAAAAAATTAAAAACGGAAAATATTTTTCGCAGCGCCAAGATGGCGGCTACGACGAATGGTAATGGTAATCTAGTTGACGAATTTGAAGAAGCTTTTCAGGTATTTTTATTAGATTTTTGTGTTAACGATTAACTATTTGTATTGAATGCACAAAGTAAGTTTTGAAGTAATAATTACGCTATTTCCTTCCCAGTCATGTCTAACCGTGTTAACAAAAGAAGAAGCACTGCCAACAATGGAAAAAGATGAAATTCGAGTCGAGGTGGATCACACAATTTTACGCTTCATTGATTTAGCTCGTCAAATGGAGGCCTTTTTCTTGCAGAAGCGGTTTCTGTTGTCGGCTCTGAAGCCAGAATTAGTCGTGAAGGAGGTAAACATTACCCAAATGTAGATCTTTATATTAACAGGTAGGTTTTGTTATAATTGAATGAGATGTGAAGATGATTATGAATTGGGTATGGAGTAGCATGTGAGAAAAATCAGCAGTGCCCTATGTCACTTTCAACTATTAACGAAAACTTGTGATCATGACCATTTTATTGGTCAAGACGTTACTGTAATATGCAGACATGCACAAGAATTGTGTGGTGTGATTTTTATGCTAGATTTTCCCATACACCATATTTTACAAAAGGTTCTTCACTGGCATTACAGATATAACAAACTTATAATTTTCTTAAATATTGAACTAAAACAATGTTTTATTGTTCATAAAAGAGTAGGTTATAAAGAGCTGGTAGCTGACTTTCAGTGAGTTTGTGTGTAGTGCTCTTGTAAAATAAAGACTTGAAAATAAATTGGTCTAAGGCAGAAAAAAACATAAATTCTCTTCTGTATTCCCACATTACAATAATTACTGGTAATTAATTTGCTGAACTGTTTTCTAAAGTCTGTGGAAAGAATTTTACTCCAAGATCAAGCGAGGAGTGAAGTTGTAGGAAGTAGGATTTGATGTTCTCATGGCAGTAAGTACAAAGATGGTTGTCTTGGTTGTAGCACTGTATAGTCTGGTAGAAGTTTACCAACACTGTGATGATGGGGGCAAAAGAACCTCATAAACATCGGTAAACTACCGGACTACACAGTGCTACAACACAGAAGACAATCTAATTTGTGGGAAATATATTAAAAGAGAACCAGTCACACATGTCATCATTTCTAAACTTGCAGAATGCCAGTTTAATTTAATTGATTCTTGGTTGTTGTTTTTTTAGTTTCACTGACTACAGTGTTGAATGGTATCAGAATGATAGACAAGAAAGATATTTTAAGGAAGAAGCCATAGTCTATTTTTGGATACTGTTCCCATATTTGGCAGGAATAATTAGAAATCAATAAATGAAGACTAATTTCAGAGTTGTTGAGGATCAATACTTGATAATGTTTTAAATATCTGTTAGACAAATGATATAACATAGTAGATAATTACATCTATCAAATATACGTATGTTGGAAAAAGTGGAGAATAATCATCCACTGCGTTTATCTGTCCAGCCAGAATTGTTGTGCTAGTAGTTCACTGTTTTGCTTTTGGTAATATCAAGTTCATAACAGTACCAGCAATACTGTACTGTGTTAAAATGTTGCTTTTCCTATTCAGGATACATATGAACTTCGACTAGAACTGGTACGGAAAGAAGAGCTGATAAAGAGACACTATGAAAAAATAGCTGTGTGGCAGAATTTGCTTGCTGACCTTCAAGGCTGGGCAAAGTCTCCAGCTCAGGGACCTGCTCCCTCTGGCTTACCCAATGGGAATGCAGGACCCCAGCCTCCAGCACCCCCTACAGGTGCACCCCCTCAACCAAACCTGCCTAGCAATATACAGCAGCAACTTCAACAGCAGCAACTGCAACAACAACAAATTCAGCAGCAGCAGATGCAACAAATGCAACAGCAACAAATGCAGCAGCAAATTCAGCAGCAACAAATGCAACAACAGGTAGCATATTGGGGGGAAACACAGGCCAGTATGACAGTGTTCCATCCCTCAGTTTGCTTTACATTACATCATACTCTAATTCATTGTGTGTTGCTTTTATTCTTCTCAGTGTATTTCAAGTCACTGTGGAAACTGTGTTGCAAAAAGTAATTATCATATAATTACTGTAATGTGTATATATGTGTTTACTGTAATACAAGGGACTCTGTCCCAGGTCACTTCACTCTTCAACCCCACTAAATAGCTCCCATCTTTCCTTCCACATCACATTCTTCATTTCATTTCAGGGATTAAGGACAAAAAAATGAGGGCAGCAAGTAGCAGCTAAGAACAGTTCATCCACTTTTAATTTTAAATGCTAACACACCACACTGTTCATATACTACACATGGTATACCTATTAATAAAATCTCATAATCACATACATTTTTTCCAGCATATCCAATATCATGTCCCTATTCCCTACATTCTGCACGAGTTTCATTCATATTAGCCACATGTCGAGAAACTCGTACTTCATTTTGGGTCTCATTCATATTTGCTGTGTGCCATAATTCTGACCATCACTGATATTCACACGATGTTTGTTACCTTAAAAATTTACTTCTACCTTAATCTGATGCAACATAATTGTATGTTATTACTGTATTGATAGCATAGTGACCTACCAGCAAAATTAGGTACTGCCACTAGTGCCGAAGGGATAACCGATCAAATGCTTTGTACCCCAGCAATTTCACACAGCATGATCATGTTTTTATTCACATACTGCAACAGCATTAATAATAATATCTTGAGTATCCCCAGTACTTTTAATTTACAAATTAATCTGCTTTCTGCAGTAGTAGGCTGCATTCATGTAACTCTGCCATTGGGAAATATAAATGGTACTCAGTTGTGATAGGAACATGGACTATGTGTGGCCAAGACAAATTTGACACAATATTACCATGCTTTTAATATTAACTTAAACTTCAGAACTGAATTTGAGTTTCACTTAATGAAATACAAAAATCAGGGTATTTGCTTTAATAATACTTCTGTGTGTTTTATTATGATTTAAGAACCACATAACTAATTTAGAAGTATATACATTTTTTATTTTGAAAACCTTTGCTTTAAGAAATTTGTTTTAAATTTTTGTTACAGTAATTCAGAATATTATTTGTTTTAATATTGCCAGATTTCTTTGTAACGTTTTCTTTATTTTCCATTGTTATTTTTATTTAGAGTTTTTATTTGTTTTTGGATGTTTCAGTGAGCCCCATGTGGGTTTCTCACTGAAACGGCATGCATTTGGTTGCAGGGTCCACCAGGAATCTCTGTAGCATCAGGTAGTGGGGGTCCTGGACCAATGGTGTCACCCCAACAAGCGATGTTCATGCAGCAGTCTGCAGGTCCACGGGGTCCCCCTGGTTTCCCCACTCAGGGACCAGGTGGAGTGCTGCAAGGACCTTTGGCATTCTTGGAGAAGACCACAAGCAACATAGGAATGCCAGAGGGACGTAGGTGACGAGGGCGGGGGAGGGGGCGGGGCAGAGGCAGGGGGCGAGGGCGTGGGAGAGGACGCGGAGCATTGGACTATGGGACTGCCCCCTAAACCCTCCCACTTGATGGAACTCGATGTAGTTCATGTGCTTGGATTCATGCTATTTGAATGTGGGGATTATTATGTGGAGAGTATTATACCATAGACTTCTAATGAACTTTCAATACTGTTCATGATTATGGTAAAACTACAGCTTTGCTCTACATTGGTGATGAAACCCCAGATTATTCAGTCCCAGACATTCTAGGATTCTTTATAATGTACTCCATCCATAGGTCAAAATAAATTACACATCAGAAACTGTATATTAGTGCAAAATCATCGTACATTGCTTAAAATGTTCTAGTCAGTTTTATCAACAACACATTTTTATGTACTTTAACTCAGTGATAGTTATGATTCAGAAAAGTATTTATTTAATATTTGTACTCCATATGATGTTCAACTACCCTTTGAGCCACCTGCATATTTTATAAAGCGAAAGCCCAATTAAATTTTAATTCAGGTTCCCCCCCCCCCTTTTATGTAAATGCAAGAGTACTTAAAGTAATAGTGCACTAAATAATTTGAATACTGAATTCTACTGACTGCCTCTTCATGCTTAAGATATATATCACAAAGTTCACATTCAAATAGAATTAATTACATGTGTAGTTTGAAGTGGAACATAGAACAGACTTAATATTCTGAGTACTGCTATTACTTATGAATGTTAAAATATTATATCACAGTATCATGGATGTAAATTTCATTCAGCAGCAAAAATTCTATAATGTGCAGTAGATGAACTCTGAGATGGTTCAAAGATACCACCAAGAGGGAAGGCAATAAAATGTGATGCTTTATACAACAGTAGAACATTTTTGTTTTCTGGTAATATTCCAGCAACTCATTAGTTTATCAACAATGACTTGTTTCTTTGTCAGTCTGCATCATCACCCAAGATGTAACTAATGTTTTTAGCTTTTCAGCAAAAGATATTGCATGCCAAAGGTGGAGAGAAATTTGGTTCATACATGCGTTTACATTTCTTTAAGGAGCTTTAACAAAGAAATGTATTTGTGGCTAAAATATTTACATTGCCCATTGAGTAACTTGCAAAAGAAGAGAAGATGAGCTGGTAGTTGTGTGCATTCTTAAGCAGCTTAGCTGACTAAAGCCATCAATCAGGCAGTGTGCACAGGATAATATTTCCTTTCAAATGCATTAATAGCTTACAGTGATGATGATGTAGAGGAATAAAGCCTGACATTTTTGCAGAATTTTGATTTTATGTTGGAGTACATTTAGTATCCTTTTGAAAGTCTATGGGTAAGGAATCAGTGTAGAATTATATAGCATTGGATGTTAAGTTCTGAGTAAACACAGTTACTCTTTACCAAAGAAACTGCAAGTCCTACTGATGCTTCATGGCAACTGGCAACCTGAACCGCATGGAATTAACACATCTCTCGTTACAACTCAGACTGCTGCAAGAGATGATCTAATTCAGGTGTTGTGATTGTAGTGAACACTGTGACGATGTCATTTTCTGTTGGCTGTTTAGTCACAAGTTCTTTACAGGTAGTGTCTAAATAGGGTTATAGATTTACAGGAGAAAGATGGCGAAGTTGTTCAAATGTATTGATGAAAAGACACCAGTTGTAGCCAGTGCTTTTGGAGTAGTATGTCTGAAGAAAAATTATGAGGAACACAGATACAAATTGGTTTTGACGGCCTGAATGATGAGTTACAAAAATGTTGACTACTGCCATTGTATGTCATTAATTTAATTAGATTAAGGTTCACATGCCCCACTAAAAATTTAATAAATGTATAATAACATATCTGAAAATGTATTACTAAGGTGAGGCCTTGGTAAAAGAAAACCTTTGCAACCCAGACAAGTATAAATTTCATGCTGGGAAATAAAATATTGAGAACATGGTACATTTATAAAGCCAAGTTTTTCATGCCTATACATCATGATAAATTATACCATGTGTGCTATAAGAATTAATATCGAGACTACTGTTTGTATTAAATGGAGTTACATTAGCACTGTGATACTTCGTTTCATAAAAAAAATAATGACCATTTATAAACTTGTTTCTACTCAAATATATATCAAATACTTTTGATCTCAGCACTGGAATTGTACTTACTGGCTCTGTGACCCAGTCAGCTTCTGATCTGATGGGTACTGGGGGTTCTCAAGTTGGGGGCTGCAGCGGCCTGCCAATGTGTTTTGTGCTGCCTGTTTTTTTTATAATGCAGTATTACCCTGCATGATGGAAATTGTTACCTGATGTCAAAAAGCACATTTTGTTAATGTTGAAGTATATAATTTCACAAAGAAGTACAGTTCTTAATGACTGCATTTGTAAATCAACACTGATGTTAATGACTAGTGTGTGTCAAAATTTTCATTTAGATGGATTCATACCTGCGTCTGTAGTTCATTCTTTCATCATATTTCTCCTACCTCATAATTCCTTTGTCATAATTAAAGCTGCCTAGATTCTGTCTCTGTATTTTAAACATATGACAACTTTAATCTTTGTGTGCCCTTCCAATTACTAAAATGGAATATAAATTATAGAGTTTCTGTTAAAGTGAAACTGTGTAACATCATTCAAATAATATTTCTACTTGTAAAATAAATTATTCAAAGGTGAGTGGGTTGAGAGATACATAATCACTGTTCCAAAAATGCAGACTACCTGTGGACCCAGCCTAGCTCTTCCTCCATAATATGCATGATTTCAGTGTGAGGTATACTTAAAAAGTACTATCCACTTCTAGCATCCATTTTATATGAGTCAATGTTGCATATGTTATCAAAATAATATGTTGTCCATTGTCATTCAATTATAATGATTGCATTTTATTTGTGTAATGTATTATAGTTATTAGAATATGAACATACAAGTGATCCACAGTATAAGCAAATACACTTAATCAGCTAAACAAGTGTTTTGAGAATTTCCTTGTATATAAGACATTTTAAGGACTTTTATTTCTTCAAGATTTTTGCCCACTGTGTTTCATATGAATAAGTACCATCTTCATCAATTTGTATTAGTGCTATTTTCACTTTGTGTACACTCATGGTGTTTTTTAATGCTAGTGTGCAACTTGTAAGCCTAGGAAGAGAATGTACATACAGTAGAGTCCCAATTATCTGACCTAAATAGGACCAAAAGACCGATAATCAAAAGTGTCAGATAATACAGATGACTAGTGAAAAAATTCAAGGGTAAATATAAATTCAATTTTTAATCAAATCAACATTATTAAATTATGAAGGAAATATAATGCCAGTGCCTGAACAACAGTGTGTCTGTAGCTGTTGCCCCCCCCTTTGTTTTTCAGTGTAAGCAAGTGTGGTCTCCGTAGAATTAAATCCTCACTATGACATTGCAATCAGATGAAACAGAATGTCAGATGACCAAAGGCTGAATAATCAGGACTCTACTCTACATTTAATACATAGTATGCTGGCAGCTTACAAGTATGTCAGTGTCTCATGAATTAGGAATACAAAATTCATTTAGTGTTAATGGGTTGAGAATTTGCACAAAACTCACTGCTTTAAGACTTCTCGAGAATAAAATAACCGTGTGATGTATTGATGTTTATATAGAAAACCTGAAGTATGTCAGGTTGTAAGTTCTATAGAAATTTGGACCATCAGCTACATTTTACCCATATATAAAGTAAGTGGCTTACCAAAGGTTACAGTGGAGTTAATGATGCCCAATACAAAAGTTTGTTATTATTTACATGAAAATTACTATTGGATACTAAAGTGTGTTTATGGAATATACATATTATACACAGAACTGTTAATTGTGAGGAAAATGGTGAAAATCTTTGTAAATACAATTGTACAGAATTCAAGTATTTGTAACTGCCAGTTCATGCAAATAATTCCTTCCATTGTTCCCTAAATCATCTCTCTTCACTGTAAAACTCCACTATGGGGAAAATAGGTGTTCTGTTCACCCTGTGTCTTTTTATAACAGTGTAAACTGTGAAGGGCAGAATGAAAATGAACCATTTTATTTCTTTTTTGAGAAACATAATTCCAATTATTTTTACAGGATGTATGCCATTTATATGACATATTTCACAACACCTACTAATTGGAATATACCTAACAGTTGAAGATTAGAAATTAGGGGTTAAGCCACATGAAAATGACACAAAAGCACAATTACAACAGAAATTCCAAAAATTCATTTATTGAAACCAAAGAATATTGCTGTGCATAATTTAATTCAATTGGTGACACATACAAACATTCATTAAAATTAACTTCTCTGAATTATTCTATGTGCATAAAAAGTAGACTACAAGAACTTACCAAGTAGACTGACATTCATGATTTTGGAAGGCGATAAAAACCCCCACTGAAGAGAAGTCTGTGTTCCCGCACCTTCCTATCCAGAAAATTACGTAATTCTCGCAGACTGCATTCAACAGCTGTTGGGCCTTGTGATGCAAACATCTTCAACATCTGATGGATACGTTCCAGTGGCATTAAGTCCAAGTTTGTCAGCATTCCAACAATGTATGACCAGAAGACCTAGAATAACACATTATCATAATCATCATCTTAGTTGTTTATAGTGATAACCACTAAAATTAAAGACACGAACTTAAAGAGAGAGCATGCACCAACTTCCATTATTACTCATCACAACAGTACTGGTTCATGTGACAGACCACTGAATAAACAACTGTTAATGTTCATTACTCAAGGACTGTGTTCTCAGTATATGTACCTGCTTTTAACTGGCTACTGCTAAAGCTAAGATCTTGGAAAGTATTCATCCCACCATCCCCTCTACCAGTTCCCATTCAAGGGCAACAACTCACTCCACTAAGAAACGATGATGTCACCTTCAAAACTTTGCCTTTTGTTACTTCATGTAATAACATTTATCCATTGCTTTGTGAAAATATTGTTTATATATTTACTATTACTGAAATAGCTGTATTGTTTCTCTATGTTGAAAACCATAATGCAATATTTCCTAATTAACAGTGATACAGATCAATATGTTGCCATTAAAAATACTCTTGATTACAAGCTGCTGCTTAGTTTTAGAGGATGCATATTTGGTAAAACAAATGTGTGGCTCGTATTTGTATAAATATGATATATGAGAGAAAACAGTATTTATACAGCACTGCTTGTCAGTATGCCTAACATTTCAGTTTCTATACTAAATTTATCATGATTCTGCTGAACTTGAACAAGCTGTGTGCACAGGGAGATCACATAGTGGGATGGGAAATACATTGCACATCCTGGATTTCTCCAGCTTAATATTCAAGATTGTAAGAATACTATCAGGTGTTTCCTTTCACAGACACATAAATATGATATTTAAATTGATTAACAGAGGGAAATGTATGAAATAACTTTTCCCTTCATACTGTTTTACCTGCAATTCTTCTTCTCTTTGGTCATGGGCTGAAGCCATTGCACTCTCAGTTTCTTCATCCTCACACACCATGTCAGGAGGCACTGGACACTTGGAGCGAGTACTGCTCTCCTCAACCAGTAAAAATGAGTCGGTTGAAATTTCACGCAGCATACCCTAAAACAAACTTATATCCATTAGTTTCAACAAGATTGGAGTACAGTACACATCACATAGGCAACCGTTGCACTAATATGATCAGAGGTCATTGTCACATCTTGGGTCATTTCTGCATGAATGTTATCCAGGTTATTGTGCAACAATGTTTTCTGACAATGGGCCCTTCAACTTTTCTGTGGAAATGTAAAAACTTTGGATCCTACTGTTCTACACTTATGGGTCCTAGTAATGAAACTTCCTTCCAGTCATTATTTAATGATACAGCTTATTGATCTCTCTGAATACAGCACAATAAGTGGCAAAATCAGCATGAATATCAGTGATGGCATCAAGAACAAAATCATGAGGCTTTATTAAAAGTACAGCGTGTAGCAAATATGAATGAGGCTCTGAACACTGACAATCTGCTTAATTATGGGGACAAGTTATTGGATATGCTGAAAAAATGTGCATATTGATCAGATTTTACTAATACATTACCATGTGAAGTGTATGATTATTGTGGTGCATAAACATTCACAGCTAAAAATGATGAACTGTTAATAGTTGCTATTCATTTCCTTCAATTTTTCATCCCTAAATTCCTAAAATTAAAGAATGGATATGGTGGGATTGGAGCCCCCTCAACCAGCAGGGTTGACAAATGAATTGAGTAGGGACAGAGCCTCTATAATATCCATAATTGGATAGGAACTGTATACTATTCAACATACTCTTAAGTAACATAATGCACTAAGTTGAGAGCCCCTGTTTTTTCCCCATCCTTCAAACTTTCAAGTGAATCAATATCAGTCAACATTTTCTATATCTGTGAACCTGTACAGCAAATATTAGTAATTTTTTTAGTATACCTGAGACTGCCAAAAGGCTATCTTCCTCCGCAAGACAGTTGCAGGAACATGCATCAACTGGCTCAATTCCTCAACTGTCCACTGATCTGAAAATCAGATGACTGAATTTTAGATGTAAAAATTTGGGACTAACAAAATTTAAATAACGATTTATGGATAATCAGGACTCTGCTGTACTGCAACTGTTTTTAAGAACAGTGACAGTCACAGGAGAACATATCTTGTAGAACACTTTCAAAACTAAAACCATTGAAACATTATAAATAATTTCACAAAACTGACTTCATGTGCCTGAATATGAATTTAACTTAGTTACTAGCCCTAACACAAACCATTCCAACCTAACTAAAATAATTGGCCACTGAACCGAAGAGACACCAAAACATTAATAAACAAATGAAATCATATTTTATTAACAGGTTCCTAAACCATTCATACAGATACACATGTTATTTTCACTGCAAGAGAAACATAACAGAGAAAGTCCCATCTAACTTGGAACCTACCTACTAGCATGCAGCAGCTCTGTTCTACAATGTGACCAACTCATTTTATGGTAGTTTGCTCGCTGCTGCTGTTGATGCAACATGTCATCATGGTGAGTTTCACATTAAGTGGGACATTCTGTATTTCAAAATGGCCCATTCTCAACAAAATTCCAGGGATAGCAAGCTCAGACAACATATACAACATCAAACAAATTAACCCTTTAAAGCCATAGCTCATCTGAATAATATTTAAGAATATTTCATCATTACAGTGATCAAGTTGTTAACTGTGTTTAATGATATAATCACTGTTTACAGTGACAATCACATGATACACATGAATAAAAATAAAGACTTGTTGACTGTTCAACCAATGTACTTCAAAAGGTTAACAATGAATACTATGTACATATGATTGAATTCCAGGTCGTACTACAGATACTGCAAATAACATCATGCTATTAATCTAACGATTACAGTAAAAACATCTTACTTTTTGTCTGAAAGTGCCAAATGATGGTGGCATGAATTGGAGATACAGTCAAATTGAATTTCCTGTCTTTCAGCTCAATATCAATGTTTACAGATCCTAGGTGCGGTTTCCAGCTTAATGTGCGGTTTCCCTGAAAAATACACAACTAATCTGTACTGAATTTGCAAATGAAGCATAACTAATATGAGCATAATTATAATCACAGGTTTATTTGTGTACACAGTATTCTCAATTATAAAGTAAAATCGTCCCACTACATGCCATGCAGACACTTGGGGGGGGAGAGGAAGTATAGCTCTTACCCATTCTTAACCTTGGCACTAGAAAAGGGTGAGTGGTCAGCATCACACCTGGCCACGCTTTACCCCCGGGGAAGGACCCTGGTACCCAATGAATAGGAGGCTGGGTGGGCCACACAGCCAGGCTGGATGCAGAGGCTAGAGGAAAAATCCTCTGCCCCTGCCAAGGATCAAACCCCAGTCATCCAGCCCATAGTCAGTCAGTATACTGACCAAGCTACCCCAGCTCCCATCCTCAATTATAAATGTAAGTAAATATTAAATATATGTGTATGTACAGATTATATGATAACTTGAACATTCTTTGTAAAACTTATGAATAAGTGAACAAAAAGTAACAACATAAAGGAAGTAAAACTCTGCCTTAACCCTTTCCCATATAACTAAAATAATTTGTTTGTTGGTTCATCAACAGTGTGCTCTTCAATGTTAAAAAAATATGGACAGTGATACATGTTCAGTACAGAAAATAAAATATGTCCCATCACTGCAGTGATGGGATATATTTCTACAGTGCACTGTAGAAATATTACCTTCAAAGTCTCAAAAGCTTTTGTATAAATTTGTAGGTGTTCCTTCACAAAATCAGGTAACTCCAAGGTTTCCTCCTTAAATGGTGGCCAAAACTGTGCTGACAAAATCATCGCCGTAGATGGGAACTGTTGCCTATCAAGTTTGAAGTTGGGATCTGAATGCAGATGTGCATTGATCCTCTTGGAGTCATATACATCCTTCAGCATAACTTCACAGTAGTGAAGTTGTGACTCCCCAAATCTACACAAAGTAAAGTTCATTATTTTATTCACTATGAAAAACACAAAACTCAAAAAACTCAGACACAATGTGTGTCTTTACATGGTTCACTGCTGCTTTCATTCCACACTATTTAATTCATAAACACTGAGTACCTAACACAATTTTTCTCATTTGAAAAATATATTGAACAAGAAATACATATGGTACATACAAAAATAGCATATATCCTTTGAGCATGTCATTAAAAAGGAACATTTTAATTCATGTACGACATGTAATCTGTCTAGTGCAAGTAATGCAGAATATTTTGAACATCTACACTAGATTTGCTAATTCACTGTGTGCCAATGCTGATGTAAGTAATGGTTTAGTATCTTTTATTTCATTCATTAAATGTGTGTAGTAAAATTAACAAACATGAGCTAAATGGCAGGACAATAGCAAGTTAGGCAAACACTTAGGAGGTTGTTTTCATCAAAATCAGTTTTTTATGAAGCATGTGTGATTTATGGAACCCTACAAATGTTATTCAAGAAATTTTTCTCCACAGGGAAATTACTGGTGTGATACAACCAAAAGAATATATAGGCCCTTCAGATGAATTAAAATTAATGAAAATTATAAGTCAGTAAACTACTGACAGTATCAATAATCAAACCATAACTAACTTTAGATGGCCATCTTCAGACTCACTGCCATGAAAACCTAAAATCCTACATAACCGACTTCACAGAGCAGAATCCTTCTTGAGTCGGTAATATGCTCACCTAAATAAACTCCTTACTGCTGGGTTCCATAAAAGATGGGAAATTTCCTAACTAGCAGAGTGACTATTAGCTGTTTGGGAAGGACTCTGTAAAACAGACTGCAGAGCTTAAGGAGAGTCCATAGACACATAGATAAAATAAAAATCACTAACAAGAGAATCAAATTGATGATATACTTCACCTAAGCTTAAGAAGTTCCAAGTACCGTATCTCCTTCTCGGTATTGTAGGTGAACTGAGACAACAAACGATCAGCTAGGAGTGTACGATATTCATTTACAAACAACTCTTTGCTTCCATACACATTCACCAGCATAGAAATAATATCTGACGTTCGTCGACTTTTAGAAGTCTTGGCTGAAATCAGAGGCAATAAATACTTTTGCATTCATACCTGCCAACTGTAGAAGAAACATAATTACAAACTTTAATTCTCCCCTACAACTTTGTAGTATACACATCCCCCCCCCCCCCCCAAATTAGGTATTTCACAAACACCGAGCTGATTATTCATATAGTGGGCGACACAAATACAACACTGGAACATAACCTTGTGACCATCATGTTATGGATATCCCTGGCTAGCACACCATAGAGCAGAGTTTCAACTCGAATATCACAGTCTATCTTTCAACAAGTTATCAACACAGATTGTTCCATAGTTTGTACTCTTCACCAAATATTATTAAGGTAATCGAACCAAAGAGGATGAGATGGGCAGGGCATGCACAGAAAAGATGAAAAATGCACATAAAAATACTTGTGGATATGTGGATTATATTAAGTTGGATCTTTTGAAAATAGGGTTTGGGGATGTGAACTGGATTCATCTGGCTCAGGATACAGATGGGTGGTAGGCTGTTGTGAACACAATAATGAACCTTCAGGTTCCATAGAACTGGGGCAATTTGTTGATTAGCTAAACATACTATTAGCTGCTCCATAGAAATAGTTGTATGTTTCATCCAACATAACACAAGACTGTAAGTTAGGAAACATTCAGTAGTCAAAAGTGTTACATTAAAATAACTGGCACATTGCATGTATATTTATATAGTATAATTAAATACCTTGAAACTTGAGTAGAATGAGGTATTCAAATCTGCTGACTAACTAACTAACTAGATGGCTTACCAAACCCGAGGGTTCAACACCGAATTAACCAAAGCCCTCCACCAGACCCTGTCCTGGGTCAACAAAATCCAGTCTCCTTCAACTCCTATCTCCCATAGATCCCGCCTGACATTATCCTCCCATCTACGTCTAGGTCTCCCCAGCGGTCTGCTACATGATGTATTACAATACAAGTGGTCAGTTTTAAAGTTGCCTTTACCCCTGAAGAAATCACTCCTAGCACCAATAGTATATAAGGCTGTGCACCAAGAACATCCAATATGCAAACAGTGACTTTACTGATAAATAAATCATAACTTACATGGATCAGCATCAACAGGATCAGGGTTCCAGCCTTCCCAATTAGTCATATCTTCATCTGAAGGAGCACCTTCGTCAAGTTGCAATGCTTCACCCCTCACGAGTTCATCAGCTAACTCACTTGGTCCTTCTTCCGTCAGGCTGCTCACTACACACCGTACAGTATCATCACGCCAACGCAAGTAATGCCTGAAATTAATTTCTCTGAAAATATCCTAAAAGACTTCAAGAATAATGTCTGTAGAATTATTCAAACATATAATAAAATTTAATCACCAAATAAAATATTAGTTTGACATCACATACAGTGATCAATTTCATATTATCAATTGCAATATTCTTGCATGTTCCAAAATTCATCTTTCAAAATTCTGACTCTCAATAATCTACTCTCTATGCCAGTGATTTTAGCTATTATGCAAATGCACGCACAAAACAAGCATCAGTAATTAAAAAGAAAGTATTAGTATTTATCAGCAAGAAATGTGTTGTAGTATTCTGTTTCAATATGCCAAAAATCTTTGTGCACCCTACACCAACTATTTCCTACGCACACATCCTCTTACAAACATACAGACTTCATACTTTTTACTGTTCTTTCTGTTTTACAGGGCAGGCAATGAAAACAGAACTACTTCCTCCTTTATTACACTTCAAAAGATATTTCCATTTGAATAAGATAGAATATGTATATAATATTCTCCCTAAGACATCCTAACATACTTGGATGAACACAATGTAAACAGCACACAGTCCAAGTATTTACTTGGGTTGATGTTGTAAAGAGATATATTCATACAACAGCTCAGTATCAGTAAGGATACATACCTGACCGGCAGGGTCACTGTTTCAAGAAGTACTCCTGTTGGATCCAACTGTCGAAGAGCCCTGATAGCTGCTACATATGCAGTTAACACATCCGGAGTGTTAACTCCTGGATGCAACAAACGTGTCTCAAGGGCTCGTTGCAATTTCTGTGTCAGATACAACCTCAAGTCTGTCTTCTGCAGACAAATCCGCAAGTCTTCCACTGCAGGCTGTGAATCAGGATATTCTAAAATGTCAAACAAACATCTTTCCCTTAAATTACCAACTCCCAATATAGTATACTATAACAATTTGCTAATGTGTGATTCTAAAAGACATTACGCACCAGGAATTTAAAAATGGAACAATCCACATATGACAGCACTGTTGGCTGGTTTCAATTGCCTCAAGGTATGGTCTATGGCCCTGGTCTCTGCCTATCTAAGCAGGAGTGCAGAAACAATTTCTAAAATGGGTGCACTCATTTGGCAGTTTCTATGTCATGACACTCATGAGAATGATGGTCGGCAGAGGAAACCTGCAGTTTAACCAGAACTCCAAACCATGGTGGGCAGGGGAAAAAGCTTTAATATGTAAACAGACATATTCACATAGACCAGACTGGGGAACAAACCCAGAATGCTCTGAATGAGAGTCCAGTGTCTTACCTGGAGACACAAAGTCCACTGACTGCATTGTTTTGTACTCAGTTTCAAACATGTCATATGTTTGTGTATGTTTTTTATAGATATATATTGGTTATATCATAGTATAAACATATCTGATACTTAAATTAATCATTATTTCATTTTCAAGAATAAAACACTGTAACAATGACACTTCCAATTCATAAACAATCCATTCCTTTTCAATCCAACATCCCTATTAAATGAAAATAATAATTGCAACACAAGTTTATATAGGATAAACACACAACATTTACATAAAATGAACTCACCTATAATTATATTGAACAACTGTTCAATCCTTGTGCGAGTGTAAGTCTCATAAAGAAAGTGTGATATTTTCTGATGAAATTTCTTTATGGAAGACTGAGTTGATACTGCATTTACATTGTAAATATGAGTCAGCCACCCCATTACAACTGTACTGAGCCACTGTGAAGCAGAAACAAAGACTGAAATAATTACTTAGTACTAGAATGCCATACCATGGTCCTGAATTTCACATTTCCTACAACAAAATTTAATTAATACCCATTAAAATATTCTCATTACAACAGGAACAGGAACACTTACTGACTCCAAAGAAGATATGTATGATGTATCAAAGCTTCCTTTGCAGGATTCCTGAACATGATTCTCAATCCTGATATGAATCAATGTAGTGATAACCTCACCAGCAAGTCTCTCCAGGAGGTCCAACTCAATGAGTTTCCTACAAATCAAATTATGAAGTTCATAAATTCTACCTATAGCTAAGTACATCAATATACTGGCAAAATGGATCAACATTTCAGAATACAAACTGAAGGACCCAGACATCTTTACACGCTGACTCAGTTATAAATAAAAATACCATCTACATTAAATATTCGCTTAATGACCCTAATAATTTCTCCATAATGGGTTGGACTTTTCCCACCTTCAAAGTTTGTATACAGAGTTATTTCCCTGAGTTACATTTATGAGTTAATCCATGAAAAAATTAATTCAGGAAAACCAACATGAACATTCATTCTCCAGTCAGATATCATGATTAATGGGTTGTTGCATGGCATATAAGGGCCATGCACATGTATTTGCAGACGGAGTAAATGCACATATATTTTGGATTTAGAAGGACCATGTATTATTTCTCCTGCACATTTCTCAGCAGAGGAAAAACTCTTTATTCTTATCTATGCTTCTATTAGAAAATAACATATTAGACACTGAAGCATAGCAATTATCACTTCTGCCTCTAGTTCAGAAAATATTAAATCAAAATCTCAACCAAAACAACAGCTATACAGAGGTTTATTTGTGGTTTCCCATCTCTCCAGATAAATTCTGGAGTAGAACATCAAAACAGGCTGAGGCTACTAACTTCCCAACTCAACATTTATAATCATCCTGCCACTTGACACTGTGCAAAAAAAGCAGTAACGAAGAGCTACTGAACAAATATACTTTTAAGTAGGACTTGAGGTTTTCACAGTGGTGAGTCTGAAGATGGCTGTCTTCTGGGTTGTTGTGCTGTGTAGTCTGGCAGTAATATACAGACATTTGGTGTCTCCATCATGACGGTGACTCATTGCCCTGATGATGGCGGCAGCAAGGACCTCTGAAACGTTAGCAAACTTCTACCGGACCACATGGCGCAACAACCCAATAGACAGCCAACTTCAGATATATTTTTTGTCCTCAAGTTTTAGCAGCTTAAGTTCAACATAAAATTTCAGCTTTCGGGGATAAGCCACATCAAGTTAGACAAGATTTCAGCAAATATATTCACCCTGAAGATGACAACTGTAATGTCTGCTGAAACAATAGATAACTTTCACAGCCAAGTCTATTTTTCTTCCACCAATTTTCATGCACTTCTCTTGGTTTTAACAGCTCTTTTGGCAACACAGATCATACTGAAGGAAATAAACATAATTAAGAAATAAGTTTCAGTTCTGATGTAAATTACAGAACTGTACTGTGAAATATAAGTAATTTATTTACCTGTTTGTTTCATGGAAAACTAAGAGAATTGCTTGACAGTGGCATTGTTCAATCTCATGACTGCAACCACCACATTGTACAACATCTTCTGACGATTCATCTTGGTCTGTAAGGTGGCAATATTTTCAGTTTATAATAAACATAACTGAAAACATAATGGAAGCTTTTAGTACTATTTTAATTCATAATATTACCACTTTTACACAAGTGTAATCATCTCAGGCCAAGCTCATTCAGTGATTCACATATCATTTCAGGAACACCTATTCCAAAACAACAAGCATTATTCATTATCACCACAGCAGTCATAACACACCTAACTAAAAAAACTCCCTGGTAGCAGAACCTGCAGGTCCAACACCAAAGCCTGCCACAAGCCACGATCCTGAGCCAACTTCATTCGTTTATCATCCTCATAGCCCACCTCCCTTAGATCCATCTTGAAAAAACCTCCCATTCCTTTCTTGGTCTGCCTAGTGGTCATTTTCCAGATTTCCTTACCAAAATTCTGTATGACCCCCCCCCCCCCCAA